CTATGCCAATGCCCATGCGGGGACAGTGGTAGAAGTTCATTAGCAATTAGATAGAACAAGTGCATGAGTGACCGACGCAACTCGTCGTCGTCCTCATTAAACTTCGAGAGGACGTATTGCGTCGCATCGGCCCACGCGCCAATGAAATCAATATTCTGCACAAGGTACGCCAAAACGCCTCCCTCATCCCTTTCAAAAGTATTAATGAAAACGTCGCATGCCAAATGAAGATGCTCCATGAGCGTATTGTTTCCCTGGCAAACCTTCAACAGCTCCGAGGATAGTAAGACCATTTCCTGTGTTATCGCCGGGCGCACTGAAAGCGTATAGGACTCTTCTGAACACGATAGTGTTGAGCATAAACGCAGTAGTCTACCATACAAAAGTGCATCCTCATTTGTGGGGTGATGAATCAACATATTTTTACTATATCGTATAACCACAGGCAGAGAGCTGGCCCACTCCTCCCATCGCGGGAGGTGAATAGAGCTTTCACGACAATGGTAGATGGCAGTAAAGGGTTCCTCCGAAACATAACCAATCTCAGACAAACACTCTAACACTACACAGCACACCTGCGCCGCCGTGGATGATACCACGTCCAACAAGTGGGCTGCCTCATCAAAAAAATACGGTAGCGCGAACCATACAAAAGACATGCGAGTCAACAAGATAGGTACTTTAATGCACTGCTGCGAGAAGTAGGGGATCAGCTCCAGCAAACAGTCGAGATATTCATTAGGAGTTAAATACGCTTGAAAAAATCCTAATATCGTGGCTATACGGATACGACCAACTGACGTTTGTCCATTTCCATCTGCACTGCTGGAAGTAAGGATGGTGGTGTCCTGATCATCTTGCTCGGCGCTCAGGACATCTAACTTCCAATTCAAGTAGGTAGCGGAAGCAAGAATGGCATACAATTCATGCCTAACATAACGTCTAAGAGTTTCTCCATTTTCCCTCAAGGTTTTGAGATAATTCAGCACAATGTATTGCACTTCACGGCGTTCATCGGGACCGATTTCGTTACTCACAAGAAAGAGAGCTGCCTTGCACACCATGAAATGTAAATAACGGTACTCTGTGGCTGCAGTCAGGAGTGTTTTTGTCGTGTTCCAATGCTCATACGTACTAAGGTATCGAAGCTGCCGTGCAGCGGCGTCACGACTAGCTTTGTCTAAGGAAGTAAGCGCCACCGTAGCAACTTCGTCCAATGACTTTAGGTGTGCATGTGTGGGGACGACTGAATCATCGACAACTTCTATTCCACTTAGAATATCTGTTTCTTCCATATATGCTTGACTAATTTTTGATATTTTTACTACTATTCTATTCTCTCAATGTGATAGGGTGAGAAATACCCAGCGTCTGCCTCACGCGTATTCTGCTTAGAGGCAAGCGAACAGAAGGAAAAATGCCACGAGAAACTCCTCCTTTCGAATGAGGTTACCTTTCTCCTTTCCTTGACTTTATCCTCCTACACATGAATAAGGAAAAAAGGGGAATTTAGCCGAATTCTTATTAACGTTACAATCAGGAAAAAGTTTTAGGAAACTTACTTTAAAAAGTAATAAAGCTCACTCAAAGATACATTTTTTGATTTCTGATTAGGAACTGAAATGATCAAAAATTCAGAAATTCGTGGTATAAAGGCTAAAAAATGCTTACTTATTTTGTAGTTCAAATATAGATCTACGTCGTAGATTCTTATTTGAGAATTCTGTAGCTTTAAAAGAGAAAAAAGTACAAAACAAAAATCCCAAAATGGGAAGCAAAATACTTTCTTAATCAGACGAAAGTTATGAAAAACATAAAGGAATAAAATTTGCCACAACCCCATAAGCAGGGATCCTAAGCTTAGCATTATAAGCAATAAGTAACTAAATAAGATAAATAATTGTATATACTCTTCAAAAAAAAAACTATGACGCATATTGACTCAACTTACCATATTAAGCAATGTGAAAAATGAAAGAAATTATACTTCGTTGAAGTAAAAGCAAAGGATCATGCACATACATTTTGTTATGACTTGGATTCCATTCCATTACTTCCATACGCATTGCGTGAGGGCTTGCCCAAAAATGCTATACGAAACATGTGGTTATTATTTATTAAATTATCCTATTACTTATATATTTACCCCCTATTTTTTTTCGTTATAGTAAAATATGCATCTTTGAATAGTTTATCTTGTACTTCTCAACTAAATAAGTGTGAAGATGAACCTTCTCAACTTATCATCCTAAGAAAAATACAACCAACCAAATTCGCCATATCACCGGTCACGTCAGGCGCTGAAAATACAATTAGTCTGAGTGTAAAGGAACAATAACTCAAGAAAGAGAGATCCTCCACGTTGCTTCTTTCACCATTCCGCATAAAGGAGGGTTCTAGTAGTGTAAAAAATAATATTAAGGCACAGTTGATACTTCGAAACGCGTTATCAAAAAACTATTCGAGAAGTTCAGCAAAACAACAAATAGAGTGTCACCCTTTCCATCCCATTTATGACTACATCATAGGATTCCATAAATGTGATAGCATCAATGGCTTTCCTTATTATGCGTGCATGTGTTTTTTTTATATTATCAGATGTATCCTTCGTGTGTAATATGCCCAGAAGGGGAATATCGGTGCAAGTATACAAATTGAAACAAGAGTACACACAATAACCCAGAATGGAGTAAGACTACTGAGATCCCGAAAAGGCACATGAAAATTCAAGCCCCAGTGTGCAGCTATTATATGCGCAGGCATTATAGTTATGAAAATGCAATGCACCAACACCATGAAATAGTCCGCATCGTTACTAACCTCATAGTTGCTTGAGATCACGTTTGAATTGTAGAGAATGGTGGTGTTACCCAACACTATGCGCGAAGTGTCCATTTTATCAAGTGTTTGATCAATAGTATCACCAGTGGCATCCATTATGTTGATTGCTACCGAGATTGACGATGTGTACACAGCCCTGGAAACTTCGGGTAACCTTCAGTGATTGTGATCAGAGAGAGAACCTTGAGTCATGAAAGCGGCCAGTGTGGATACTGAGGGGCCCCTTAATGAATCCAGCAAATTTTTTTTGAAAATCAGCTCACGACGAAGAATTGACAGCCTATGTCGAAGCAGCAAAATACGCCGGTGAGCATCTGACTGATCGCTCTCCATATTAGGGAAAATCAAGAGCAACATGAAGTCAATAGCCACCACTTCACTCAGCATAGCATTAATGTTAGGAAGATAAGTATAGCACATAGTCGACATGAGTGGAGAGATAAAAAAAGATGTAGTCATAATTTCCTCATCCCTGTTACTTCTCTCTGGAACATGAAAAGCGTCAGTCTCAGGAACTTCGGGTTGTGGTGAGTGTTGCGTAGAGTAGGTACAGTGTGACAGCACGGTCTAATAAATGGATTATCATGGAAAGCATTTGAGGGATAGGAAATTTTATGGAACATGACCTGTGTGTCATACTCAGATATCAGATAAGGAGGGGGAATCTGCTCCCCCATTTGCGGAATATGATGCACAGTATGCTCCAACAGCGTCATCACACGCAACACTGCATAACACTCCTCCTTGTTTCCCCCCTGACAATTGATAGGGGTCGGTTTTGCAAATAAATGTATAGTGTCGGCATCATCTAGGGCCTCGAAGCGATCCTCGGAACCGTATCCCATACAGAAGCACTCGAAGTCCGGCGGTAGTGTAAGTTGTCCCTCCTCAATAGTGTGAGTGGTACCATCCCCTTCGTTATTAGGATGTGTTACAGGTATCGCATAGGGAAAGGCATTCGCAGTATCCACCTCCTTTTTCCCAAACATTGTCGTTCGCCGTTGATACTCTTGCCTTATCTCCTCCTGAAGCCTTACTCGATGCTTTTGATTAAGCTGCAAAGCTTCCCAAAGATGATTCATAGTTTTGCCCTTATCACTGTCATTGGTAGTATGGTGAGGAGGTGGGGGCACACCATGGAGATCGATCCAAACAAAACCCATCTCGCTGCCTGTAGGCATCCTCTTGGAGCTCTCGGCATTGTTTCCAATATCAAAGGGAAATATGGTCTTATAAGCACGTACCACCTCCTCGACAGTGCTTGCATAAGCTTGCTGGACACAAGAACCGTTGCTATCACACTTATATATGTGGCCCGCTAACGTGGACAATGATGTGGCAGGTCCGAGGTGTAGTCTGGAATCTCCACACCAGTGGTTAGCACGATCGAACCGAGACATATTGTTTACCATTTCCTGTTTAGTGGATTTCATTACACACGGCATGTAGGGACGACCTCACTTATCTCTGATCACTGAGAAGGAAACTGAGTTGGAGGGAGTGCAGAGTTATGAATATGGACCTTATTCCAAAGCCAAGGGTCTTGTTAGCTGATATTTAGATGGCGTACTTTATGGGGTTCAATTTTGTGTATATAGCAATAGCCTTACACCAAATTCCTTAAAAAATGTCTGCTTACAAATTTATGAATTAAATCCTCAATATACTGCAACGTATATACAAGGAAAACTCTCAATAGTGTCTTAATCTGATGAAAAGGCTTTTAACGAAATAACAAAAAAACAATTCATGGAAGGAACCTCAGCGTGTTCATGCAACTAATACTAATAAGATAAAGATAAAAAACTTAAAAGGTTGTTCAGATAAAACACAACATTATTAGACGCATAGTACGATAGTTGGGAGTCTAGACAGCCAGGCAAGCAAGTGGTGCCTATGAGGGGAATAAAAAAATTGAGTTAAATTTCAGTTTTTTATATATTTTCAAGTGTTTAATACCATACATCCATATTAACTAGTCATATATTTTTTTCCCTCATAAATTCCATACTTATCATAAATAATCATTTTGTAATTCAACGAGCTACATACATTTCCCTCTCCAATATTGCAAGATAGAAAGGCTAACTTGCATGAAAGAAGAAAATGGAGAAACTATGGAGAGAACAATGACAAAAAAATTGCCAAGAAATAAAAGCTAAATTAAATCAAATAAACAAAGACGATGATTAATAAATTTACTTATGAAAGCGAATAAAAGATACTATAAGAAAAAGAATAAAGTACATTATCCCTAAAGGTGTACAATGAGTTGTGTACTTGTATATACTTTATCCAAGAAAAAAGATTTTGCAAGCCCCTTATCTCACTCTAACTTTCCATTTAACTGCTCTGACACGATTTATCAACCTCATAATCAGAAAAAAAGATGTTTTAGAAACTTTGTTTACATAATACTTGGCTTTCTTAGTCTCTTAACATTCATACTACATTCTACCCAAGCATAGCCACCCTTCCTCAAGTTATAAACTTTTGAAAGACGATAGGGGAAATATACCCTCAGCAAGCTTTGTCAGATTCGGTACTTTGTGATGACATAGATCTATTTGAGTTCATTTGTAAACTCTTCTTACTTTACTCCATTCCTTTCGAGATAAGGAATTCAGATATTGAATACAAGATTAATCACTCCCAATTTTTCATACTTACCTCAGACCTGTCGAATCGCTTAACCGTTTCACAAATCTAAATCACTGGAAGAGTTCCTTTAGCCCAATCAAAGCTTTCTATACCACTTCTGCCTCAACTGGGCAAAACCTCCTAACACTTTCGTAACACACCTACCTATGACAAAGAGGATTGTGGGCATCGGCCGGTTGTCAGTTGAAACCGGGACGCCGGTCAACGTAGAGTTAGCTCCCTTTTCGTTGAGAATGACGAGTTTCAATTCTATGATCCATTAATGGGCAGTATCACCGTAAACACTGTAGGAGCCGGTGTCATACATACTCTGCAGACCGGGACCTGCTAATCCTACATTGCACATTGGGGGCTGGGGATTATATAGGTCAGTGACATTTCTATCTGGTAAGCCTGCGGCGGATGACGTGGCGTTTTGGAAGTTGTTTGCTCGATCACTATATTGATCCGCCGAATGTGGTCCTTGAGAGCATCCGTCATTATCATCAGTGTTTGTCTCGTTACAATCATCCGTTATATCTTGCAAATACTGCATACCGTTACCATAGGGAGCACCAGCGGCAGCAGTTTGCATTTGGAACTCCTGTAGAGCCATCGCTTCCTGCATGAGCTGCTCATTAAAATGAATTTCTTGGCTCATTTGATGCACCATGCCACGCTGCATAGCGTACATCATCATACGCTGTGTAGTATCCTCAGCTGGACGGTACATGTTCACCGTTTAATGAGATTATCCTGCTAGAAAAAATTTAGAATGTATGCGAGGGTAGATCTGTTATCAAAGTAAATTTTAGCCGCTTAAAATAAATAGCCTAGTGAACGAATTAAATAGGGTAGAGAACAGCACAGTGTGCATGAATACCAGGATTAGAGTTGGCGCACAACGTTTGGTTTTCACTCCCTTGCATGTGTAAATTTTCGTATTAGTAGCTTTTGACAGCAACTACCAGTTTAAGGATAGCTATTGAACTTTTGCTATCTTCGCTCCATTTTTCATTCTAAAAAAAAATCGAATCATGGCAGGTTGGTTTTCACTTTTAGTGGACTTTCTCAGAAATCGTTCCATAAAACAAGAATAAGAACTATCATAGATCAATAACGTTGTTCTGTGATATTGCAGCCGTGCATAACACATATACCAAAGCAAATATTGTAATGAATGTTATTCAGAACACGTGTACACGGAATCTTTGGTGGAGCTTGTGCTTTGTTTTGGGGAAAGTCGAAACTTTTTTTTCTAAGATTTTGTGTTCATGTCAATAATTGAGAAATCATTGCTATTAAAATATACTTTCTACATCCCTGTTTTCATCAAATGCGCTATTACGCATTATGTCATAAAAACGAATTTCAGCATCATTGCCGTTCGCAAATCTGATCTGTTACAGGCAACTCTATCACCGTAGCACGTTCAACCTCGCATCATAATGATATGTTGAAATCACTTCTGATGCAATTTGCCATCTCTGAACCACTGCTTATTACTCAATTAAGAAGTTTGTATACAATAGGCTAGAGTCAAAAAGATAAATTGAACATCCACAACAATAAGTTTCAAGTTACTTCTCAAGAAAGTAACCACACAACACAATGTGCAAACCTTTGCCCACGTATCTAGTACGTCTAACCTCACAAGATGTAGGTTTTCATATTTCCAACCTTCTCGTTTGATACATACCCTTCAATGACGCTGATCATCTCACTAGCGTAGCCTTGAATAGCGTTACTATAATAAATACTGTACAGGTGATTCAGAGGGACTTAAGGGTAGAATATCATGTCTATTATATTAGGATTAGCATGAAGTTATTGAACTACATAAATGCAAATACTTTAGTGTGATGGGGTAAAAATACTCTCCTTTTTGTTTCTCAACATCTACAGTTTCAGCTAGCTCAATCCTGATAAATATTGATGTTGGTATTACTTCGTTACCAATGCAGAAATATTGGTTTTGGTTTAGTTATTCTGCACAGGTAGTGAGTGTAGTATCCTAACCAATCTGTGTAAGCTTCACAGGGGGTGGCCATGGAATATTCCTACTTGAATTTCAATGGAAAAGAATGATAACAACTACTATGTCAATGTTCTCTGTTTCACCCATGCCTTATATTGTCGAGAATTCCATGGCTGCACTTTTTCAAAAGTAAGCATGAAGCTTTAGTAGTTGTCCCGAAAGCGCTGTCAACGATATTAAAAACATGTGCCTTTCACGGATGTTCAACATTCCAAAATTCTTTTTTCATTGACACTTTTCAATTTTTTTGGGATAGCTTAGTAAGTGCCTGAATTTTTATAAAACTTTTTCTAAAAAAAATGTTGTTCCAAGCCCTTGCGATGTTGGCAGATCTTTCGTCACGACTTTTGACTCTGACTTTACTGGGGTTTGATTTTTTTTGTGTGTGTATAGGATAAATTGACTACACAATAAGATAATATTTATTTTTAGCTTTCATAGTGTGTTTTCACCTCTAGATATCGGTAATCTGATGAATAATATTTTACTATTAAAGGCAAAATAACTCATTGATATCCGACTCTCATATCAGTCTGCCTTTCTTCTTGAAAGATAGATCAATAAAGAAAATTGCTCCGCACGTAACAAGATATTTCAAAATTAATGATATATCAAAATTTTCATTTGAACACTTGCTTCGTTGAGCATTTTACATTTGTCAGATCTTGAAATAAAAAATGAAAATGATAATGCCTCATTCCATTGGAAACCGTTACCATAACTCCACGTGGAAGCTGATCAGGCAGGCAGATGAGAAAACAAAAGGATCTCATCACTTCGGCACAAAAATGAAGACCTATATTCGCAAGTAAAAGAAGAACGATAACCTGTACTCGCTCAAAGCTTTTCGCCGCGAAAGACATTACATTAGCACGTTCGTACAAAAAAAAAAGAGTTACCTATCCGAAACCATTCTAAAGTACATACATAGTCTATACGTCAGCCTATATGAAATATTACATGAAAAACATGCAGATTGATAGCAAAAACAGGTAGTGAAAACTCTCGGCAGTATATGAGAATTTATTAGTGTACTTTGGATCGACAAAATAAAATAAAACACAGGAAAAGGTCCAAACGATAGATAGCCCAAGAAAATGTGAATGAGTTTTATTCTACCAAAAAAAATATTGGATCCCGGACTATGTACGAGAACCATAAAAGAAAAATCAACGCATAGAGCGGGCCAAGGTTCATGATTTATACACACATCAGGCACAACATAAACAAAACTAATAATATGCAGAGAGACAAAAAAAAAAGGCAAGAAAGCTTAAGAAAAATATCCTCGTTTCCAAACGATTCTGTTTCGCACTCTGAGTGTTGCCTTCATTTTACCCAACCTTGATTGACTTTTTACATTCTAAAGTTAAATGTCTTAGCCGTGAACGCAGCGCTCAGGTTTCTACCCTTTCTCAGTGAGTGTCTTGTCGCAAAAAAGTTGGATTAGTGATTGTTTCTACATCATCAACACTGGACATCGTTGTTATACCATCCAACTCTATATTTAACAGGGTCCCTTCCTAGTTACAAATCACATACCCTTACACAATGTCTTGGGAAAGGTTTAAGAACATCCAAGGCCCATGGAACAAAGCACATCGCTAATGTAGAGATAATAGCGCCAAAGCATCTACAGTAGTAAAAGCGGGACCTTTGTTCGCAGCTTCACAATGATGATGAATTACTCTCAGTTAGATAGCAAGTAGGCGGGCGAAGGGAAAGCCTCCACTTTATATTGACAAAGCTTGAATATAAGTGGCTGGCAACCCACCGAACAAATTATATCCACAAGACAAAGGAATCTATTTTTCTATTGTTTTTATTCTATTGCCCTGTGGTGAAAAAGACGACAAAATCGTGAGTGATACCGCTCTTCGGTGGAATTTCCTCGGCTGCTTCCCCGGCCCCACACTGGCCGAACTAGCAGGTGTGTGTCTTGAAAAAAAAACTGGCTTTTTTATGTGTGCTTTTGAAATTTAAAAGCACCATCACGGCGAGGCTGGTGTGTATAGTTTGCAGTGGGGGCAACCACTCGAATGATTCGTGCAAGATATTTCCTCCATATTTGCAAGGATGCTGGGACCAATCATTTTTACATCTTTTTAGAGTCGCAGTGGGCCCCATTGAGCTCACCCAGGCAAATTTCAATTCAACGCTGCCATGCCGAGGGCAAAGGGAATTTGGAGTTCCTTTGCCCCAAGAGTTGGATTCAGACCAATAATGTTATGCCTGATTTATGTGTGGGGTATTCAAAAATGGCGTATAATAGTTATCCGCGGCGAAAAAATGGACAAACCCCACCCCCCCCATACTGTAATAATATGTACTGAATTGCCCACGCCGTTGTGGCTGCTGGCGTCGAGCTCTCCGAAATGGGCCCGCGCACGGCATGGCAAAGTGGATTTTTATATTCTTTAAAGGTTTAGAAGTAGCCTTAATCATTTCAGAGCGTCACCGCCAGGCTTGCGGTGGTATGATCAGTGATTTGCAGGTGCCCTGTCGCATGGCGGCCGCTAAGGATTAGGCATGCACATAAAAGGCGCGCATTGGTTCCCCCGTCCACGAATTGTACATGGGGCCGAAAACGCACTAGATAGATGCTGTTATGGTTCCCAAAAGGGAACATCAAAATTGCCTTATAGTAAAAAGCAATTTTATCGGCGGCTTTTGGCGTATCAATTATTCATTTTTTTTCTCCCCATGCCGCCCCGCCCGCCGGCAGACCATATGAAGAAGGGCGATGGTGGTTTTGCGCGCCGCAGCTTGGCCAATGGCTACGCCTATCGCACGCCCCCCGCGGCGCATCACGTATATGGCTTTTTTTTGTTCTTGCTAACTGCGCGGGCGTCGTTCCAGTTAATTGGGCAAAGCGGCGCCGCCCTCTTCTGGATTTTTGCGCGCTTTTCTCGGCTTCTTCTTTTTTTTTTGCAGCCCATGGATTTGATACTCGCTTTTGTGCAGCGTCAATGCGTGTGCTTATTTTAATGGCTCACTTATTTGGCCACATGCTGAGGATTACTTCGCCTTTGTACAAAAAAAAAATGAATACTTTGTGATTTTGCCATGGCTACTGGCGGGGGTGGTGGCGTGGGGTTTTGCTTGCTTACAGGCCATGGGCGTTCTTTTATAAGCCGGCTTTATCTTTGCATGAAAATAAAATAAAGCAGTAGTAGTATCGTGTCCTGCTATGATAATTCGGAGAATGGGCTGTGGGGGTGTGGGTGGGGGGTCAAACTCCGCGACGCAGTGGGGCCGCGTGTGCGTTTCACGTTTTTTGTGGGTGGATCAAAATTTCTCCTATCCCAAGCCTCCTCTCGGAAAGCCTACAAAAGAGGGAAAAAACTCAGGGAGTTTTCTGTGGAGAGATCATTCGTCCTCAAACCGAGTATTTGCCTTTAGAAGTGTTCAAGCGTGGTATACTCTGGGGCAAATTATTTTATAGGATACGCAATAGCTGTGTTATAGTGAGTGTATTTCTGCCATAAGATGTAACGAGTTTTTTTAAGAATCAACATTCTGAAAATGGCACATCCCAAGAGCTGTTGAATTGCATGATATTGTGATGTTGCTAAACAGGATACTCTTTTTTTAAATTTAACATCTAATTATACTTATTTTTATTACCTAAGCGATCTATTTCTTCAAGTTTTGCGTATTATGGTGACTGCCTAAAAGTAGATCCATTTCGTCGTTAGCGATTGTAATTAAGGACATTTCTTCAGACTGCTGATAACTGAAACATGGGAAAAAAAATATCTTTGAAAAATGAACCTTTAATATCCTCATTTTTTTTTCGATTTATGCAAAGTTGCTTTAATAAAACCAGCACTACTGTCTAAAACACAACGCCAATGGATCGTGACGAATTCAACAAGCTCCTCACCAAGCTCAAAACTCAGACAGATGAATCCGTTGATTGTTCTAATTACAACTTGAACGACGAAAATCTGAATATTATTATCGCCGCTTTCGAAAATGCACCCTTCACAGCCAAGTCCTTCAATTTTTCCGGGAATCGAATTACTTCTGTTGGTGCACAGGAGTTATCAAAATTCCTTGAAAAATATCCAATAAGTGAAGTAAAACTTTGCAATAATTTAATTGGGGAAGATGGCTGCAAATCATTACTTTCAGTGTTCACCAAGGAGCAGCATTTATCTACGTGTGATCTATCTGGAAATCCATGTCCTGAGCATTATATTCTTCGCATTCACTATCTTGCCAAAGGAATCTCTTACCCTGAGTCTTTGAGAACTGCCCTCTTTATGAACTCTGCGGAAAAAGTATCCTTTGTGGGTATGAAATACTTGGATATGGACAATCGGATTATAAAATATATCATTCATGGTATTCAAAATTTAAAGGAAGTGGATTTTTCAGGAACTGGGTTAGGTGATAATGGTGCAATTGAAGTTGCACTGTTGCTAAAAGACAGCAACGTGGAATCAGTCATAATGCAAAATTGCCGAATTACCGATGTTGGTCTCGAAGAATTCATCAAATCGGCAGATCTTCCGAATCACCGCACAATAAAACATATTGATTTCAGTGAAAATAGAGGTATCAGCAATATGTTTGCGCAAAAAATTCCATCCGTGGTATTTAACACAAATACCACAATTGTATCCTGGGATTTTTCAGGCACTGATATTAAGAAGGATACCAAGGTGGCAATTGAAAGGGAGTGTGAGTTAAACACACAGCCCAAGATAATAAAAGATGCTGTTGTTGCCCTTCGTACACGTTCACCTGCAGCTGCTGAAATTAACTTCCAGTGGGTCAAGGATGTACCCCAATGTGTACATTTTTTGTGGCCATACATTCGAGATAGTGCTGACATTGTATCTCTCAATTTGAGTAACGTTGGTATTAATGACAACGATTTGGCGCTTCTTTCACAAGCACTTTCCCTGAATACTTCACTGCGCGTTCTTGAGCTTGCAAACAACACGATATCCTTCACTGGTATTCAAGCCCTTTTTGCAGCTTTTCAGAAAAAAGAGTGCAATGTGGAGGAAATCAACTTGGCCAACAACGATCTTGCAGATGACTCTGCTGCCCTCATCATATGTGTCCTTCGTGCAAATCCCAAAATCAAATTTATGAATGTGAATGTGAACCCGCGAATATCAGAGGCTAATTTCAGGGAAATTGGTGGACTTACCTGTATCAACCGTGCACCACCTCTCCTGCGCTCCATTTTGGTAAATTTAGAAAATAACTCTCAGGACTCCGAAGAAGTTGATCTTTCTATGCAAAGTGTCACGATCAATGATGAGTGTTTGGGACTTCTAAGTCGAGCTCTTCGCTATAATACTACTGTCAAGAAATTAAATCTCTCTAACAATATTATCGGTGACGTTGGTGCATTTTTCTTTGCCGAGGCTTTATCCGTAAACAAAACGCTGACAGAAGCCAAATTACTGAACAATTCAATTGGTAACCGTGGTGTTGAAAAGTTATGTGAGGTCTTGTATGAAAATACTGCTTTAAAAGTTTTGGATTTATCGAACAATGTGTTTGGATATGATGGTGTCAAGGATTTCCCTGAAATGCTACGTGTGAACAATTCTCTAAGGAGTGTAACCATGAATCGAACCCGCGTCCCTGATGAATTCGCCATCACGATTCAACGTGCGTGTGATCTCAACCGTGATGCCCCTGAAGTCAAAAATATTTTTTACAGGCTGCAGGATTCCGATAAGACACTGGAAAAAATTGAACTCTCGGAAGGAAAACGTGAATGGGCTTTGGATGACATCTCGATGGCAGTTTTGTGCCACGCAATGCGCGGCAAATCCTTCGTGAAACTCGTTGATTTAAGAGGGAATAACATTGGAACTGAAGGATGTAAACATTTACAGAGCGTATTGATTGATAAGGAGTGCAATATTTTCTGCCTTAATCTCGCAAAAAATCCTATTGATGACGAGGGCTTTTCTGAGCTGATGAAGGTGCTTCCAGATAACAACTCCCTGTCATACTTGGATCTAACTGAAACGAACATTACCATTCACGCCTTGGAATATGCGATTCCTGCTCTTAAGAAGAACAATTCCCTCCGATCTATCATTATTGATGAAAATATTGATGGAGCTTCCCTCAAGGAAATGAATCGCCTGCTTGCTATTAATTGTGAGCCTCATGCTCTAAAGGAAGTTTTATGCCGCGATGACATGGAGCGCCCCGTTTTGGATGTCGACCTTCATCAGCAATCCCTTGGTGATTCAGCCTGTGAACTTTTCTGCCAAGCATTTCTGGGCAGCGACACTCTTCGCTTTGTGGATCTCTCTTCCAACAGCCTAACTTCAGATTCTGTGAAATTTATCATCGCATTGATTACGACATGCCCAAATCTTGAAGCCTTGAATCTCTCCCACAATCAAATTGATGATTCTAGTGCAAAAGATATTATTGAGTGCTTGGAAAATGTTTCACACGTTCGCTTTATTGATTTGAAGGGCAACTTGTTATCCAATAATAATGAGGAACATATAACATGTTTGGTCAAGCTTAACTCTGGGTCTTTAAAGCTAAAACAAATTCTGCTCAAACGTGAACGCGAAGAAGAGTTGGATGAGATGATCAACTTGAATGGCAAAAGTAATGAGTACAATCTTACAGATACTGAGGTTTTGACGCTAGCTGAAGCACTCAGCAACGTAACGAGTGTCCGTGCCTTGGACCTGGGCAACAACAATATCACTGATGTAGGATGCGCCGCGCTTGCTGAGGTTCTTCGCAACAATCATTCGATAGAGGCTCTGTATTTAGATCAGAATCCCCTCGGTGCACCCGCTGGTGAGGCTTTATTTTACGCCCTTAAAATTAACCCACAGCTTCATACCCTTGTCCTTGAGGGGACACAAATCCCGGAAGAAATATTGGAAGATATTGATTCTCTTTTACATGTTAATCAGACTCCTCTAAAAGATCGAATCAACATGCGTAACGTTCCTTTGGAGGAACTTGATAATAGTGTGCAGTTCCGATCAACTGACTACTATACCTCGCAGGCTTACAACGTTGAAAGAGATGCACTGTACGGATTTTGTAAGCCTGAATTAATTAAAAATTGAATGGTTTAATGTAGAATATCCCTTTAAAGGCTTAGATCAGTCCAATTTTCGTAAAATAATCATTTTTTAGTCATTGTATTTTGATGTATTTCCCTCATTTTTTTCAATCTTTCACAGCGAGTCAGAATGTAGGGTTAAAAAACGAGGAGCAGCGTATCAACTATGCACGATGTGATATTTTATTTTGCTCTTTCTGTGGATTTTTTAAATAGACGCTCTATTTCACGAATATGTAGTTTTTTTCAACCTTTTTATGTATATATTTTTTTATTATGTTGAATAGTATTTTTTCCCTCCAAGAGCGAAATGTATGAAAATTCACTTTTTATAATTGTTATTGAACATGAATATATCGATTTTACTAATGTAATTATGAAACTGACCATAGCCACATTGCGTAGCATGCCTTTTTAATTTTGTAAAGCTATGTATAACATGTAATTAATTGCAATGATCCTTGTTATTTGTACTTTATTTCTTTATAGAGGTAGAGAACGTAACTTCAGGCATATAGTCAAAAAATTAATTTGGCCTTGACCATTATTTTTCAATTAGTAATGGCTAATGATGCTAAAGAAAATGCACACAACCCGCTTTTTGTGCTGCGACAACATGATAGCCCGGTTCTTTCTTGTGCATTTTATCCTTCCCCATGTAATAATAATCATTCGAGACTTTTTATTAGCGGTGACATCAACGGAACAGTCATTGTTTGGGATTTGTCACTTCGAAGAGCACTTTTATCGTTCCATCCAGTGAAATGGGCCATAGAACAGAATCCCATCAGTGGATCATCACCACTTTCGGTTGAAGGCGTGCTCGCGGTGGGGTTCTTATGCTCTGGAAACATTAGTAATATGAAAACAGTGCCGGATAGGAATGCTTCTAGAGATCCAATCAAACTTCCAGAAGAACAAAGTGTCTTGCCTGTACAGAAGTTTGCCGGTTCTATCAATGAGATTGTGAGTTCTTCATTGGTTTCCAAGCGTCCACTACGTCGACGTTTTCGCCTCGTTCGTGATGCTCTTTACCAAAACGTTGACAATATCAAGTGCAGGGAAATTATATATTTCTTTAGTCAATGCCGTAATCAGCGCCTCTATATTTGGGAGTGCAAGCTAAACGATGAGAAAGTATCCTCGTTGTTCAGCTATACAACGCCGCACTTACTGCATACCATACAAGTTCCACAGTACGGTTTTTGCGCTGTCGCAAGCTACTGTTGTAATAATGGTTCTACCGTTCTTGCGGTTCCACATGACGCTCAGGGAGTCGTTTCTCTCTGGCGTGTTTCTGACATAGAAGCAATAGGTGAGAACAGTAGCACAGGGCGTCAAGAACCACAGGAAACTTCAGTTAATCCCTTTTCTTCTACGTATGGGCAAACGTCCGATGCACCCCTAGACACTACTGCTATAGGCCCGCATGTTGCATTAGATGTGCATGAAATAACCCAACAGGGTATGGAGCATTGCACATTGCCCGACATAAGCCAGTCACCAGATGATGCACAGGTATCCACATTTACTGACTCTACAGTGGACAGCCTTCTGCATCTTTATTTTCTCGGTAGTTTTTGCACCTGCAAAGGTTTCAAAGGTGGCACTATTCTGCATATCTATATCAGAGATGAGCACCATCTAAGTGTGTCATTTGAAAGCGGTCACGTTGTGTTGTGTGAGTATCAAACTCCTTTTCACGGAGTGCGGCAGGAAAACAGAGGAACAACGACACTACACCGGGAAGGTAATGTTCTGCTAAGAATTCTTGGCATCGTGCGGGCCTTCCCAGAACCATCCATGACATGCTTGTACCATGGACAACGAATCCTTGTTACCTCTACTGAAGGCCACGTTCATTCCTATCGCTTGATTTGTCACCATCGGGAGATAACCGAGAAGGGCTATACTCAAGATAGCTGCGGTGACAGCGTAGTCTCACATCCAAAGTCCTCTGAACAAGGTGAATCGATCCATTTCTTCACGGCATGGCAAAATAAGTTTCCCAAAGGGTTGGGTAGCGCGATACTTCAGGATGATTTTGCTGTTCTGGGCTGCTGGGATCACAGCCTTCGAGTGCTAGATGCACGCACTGGTGAGGTTCTTTCCACATTACCTTTTCATATGGAGACGGTTAACAGTGTCTGCATTGCGCCTTCTGCGGTTGCGATGGAAGCATCCTTTGGGTTCGATCCTCGAGAACCCCGGTGTTACCAATATCAACCTCGTATGAATGAGAGCAGCACTGATGGCTTGCATGAAAATAATACGGGTGTGTACATTTTTGCCTCAGCTAGCAAAGATGGATGCATCGCATTATGGCGAGTCGATTTTTTCGCATTGCTGGAGAGAGAAAGAGTGGCAGGAAAATTTTCTTCTAAATCTTCCATGCTAACAAAAATGCTGCATACAGTTGAAATTGGATAACAACAGGAAAGTAATTTTCTGCCAACGTATTATTTTCCACCTCTGTTTATCGTCGGTTCATTTTGTTGTTGGTACAAAGGGAGAGTAGTGAACCTATTTATTTTATTCGTTTCTTGCAGATACCAAATTCCATATTTTTGTTAATGACATTTTTTTTTGGTATTGCTTGTGGTTGCTTTCAGAGATTTTTCCTATTAGCCATGTTTGGCTTCCATTTCAACTCATCCTTTTCTCCTATTTTCACGTTCCAGTACTTGTTTATCTCAAGATCTATGTCTAGGGCATATATACAAAATAAAATTTCACACAAGAAATAAGTCAATTACTAAGGTCAGTCTTGAAATTACGTGTTCTCCCCGACATAGGTTCGACCACAGCAAGTGAAATAATATAAAAATCGAAGGATACTGACATAAGCAGCAAAGGCAAGAATTTTAAGGCGAACAAACTTAAAATTTTTGTATATATCTCCACATATATTTATTTCTATCGTTTTCGGAAAGCATTAAGCCGTTGGAGAAAGTTCCTTAGGCTTTACAAATAAGTACGAAAAAAAAGGAAAGTATACCGAGGGTATTTCTGGAAGTAGGTTCTATCTTTTAAGCACAGTTTAGAGATATACCACCACCAGGTTCAGCAATATCTAAGGGAGAACTGCTTATCACTTTTTTTCCGTTTATTGCTTTCTTTGCTTCTGTTTCCTTTTTGCATTTTTTTAGCACCAGAAATACTGTTTTTATAACGGTGGTTCTTTCGAGGTTAAATTTGTTTTCTTTTTTCTTCTGTTTATATTTACTTCAAGGAGGCTGTTCTATTTGTCTCTTTTAGCGGGTTCAATAATACGCAATAGTTCGGGAAGCATTTGCTCTTCTTTTTTAAAAATATTTGCTTCAGAAAAATCCGCAAGGAAATAAGAACGTTTTAGGTTGAGGTAAATCTCTTATCTTTACTTCAATTCCCATCGATTAATAAGTGTAGAAAACGCAAATTTATAGAATTCGAATCGCATTTTTTCTCGTGCTTGGCATTATTTCAGTTATTTTACGATAATAGAATTCGATTTATATCCGAGTTATTGAAGAAGGTACTTCAGTAATATCTTCCCCTTGACTTTGGAAAAGTTCAGATCAACACGGTTCATCCTGAACGGGGTAGTAATACACAGAATATATGAATTCCTATATCCCACCAGCATCTTTGAAGGGAGGTCGCTATGTTCCGAAAAAGGTTCTTGGTATCGGTACCTACGGTCAAGTTTTGCTTTGTGCCGATCAGTTAGTTGGCGGAGATGTCGCTGTAAAAGTAGCGCAGTCTAACCCGGCCTATCGACGCTCTGCGATGAATGAAATATGTGCCCTGCAAAAGCTCCTCGATAATGCTAACTGTGTCAGGCTGTTAGATGTCTTCGAGGACAGCGGCCACGTGTGTATTGTTACAGAGTTATTGGATAAGAACTTGTTTGAGTTGTTGCGTGATCGTGGATTTATACCATTGATGATCTCCGACATAAAAAAGGTCTGTAGACGTGTTCTTCAGGCCCTCACTGCGCTGCATAGAGTGGGATTCATGCATTGCGACATTAAACCCGAAAACATCATGCTGCGAAAGGTATCTAACGTGGATAAATTTAGCAACAACGCATTGGTGCATATCAACGAGCATGCTTCAAAGGTGTTTCCGCATAAAGTAATTCAGTCTGACTCTATTAACAAGGAGAACGATTCTTGTCAGAAATGCATCCAAGATGAATTAATTGCGTTTTCACTCAGCAGTTCGTCAGATTGTGGCGAGGAGGAGGTGGATTTTGATCAAACATGTCTAATTGACTTCGGCGCCGTTCGACAGTTTAACGAAAACGACTACTATGACGTGCAGTCTCTATGGTATCGCGCACCGGAGGTCCTATGCGGCTTACCCTACACGGCGAAGATTGACTCATGGAGCGTGGGTTGCCTTTTGGCGGAGCTTTACAGTGGGAAACCCCTTTTTCCCGCTGAAAATGTAGAAGACCAGCTCTCATATATTGTCCAACTTGTGGGATATCCGTCTCAAAGTGCTTTAAATTTAGGGAACAACGTTAAGCAGTTCCGTCTACCTGAGGTGAGAACCAACCGCCAAGCGACAGCATTGCAAGTGAGTAACTGGATCAAAATTTGCCGCCATCACAACCTTCAGTGGCACCAAAATCGGCTCACACCCCAGTCTCACCCACAAAACCAAGGGCTAGGCATTGAAAGGCTTTCCAATACCCCATGCAGCAGTAGCATATTGAATGCCCCGATAAGCTCTGAACCCAATCTGCACAATCTACACAATCTGCACAATCCGACCTCTTCTGCAGAAGAGGCTTTGCTGATAAATCTCATTATTCACTTGCTTTGCCCGGACGAGCAGCACCGCCTGAGCTGCGAGGAGGCTCTCCAGCACCCTTTTCTGAGTGCGTCACCGTCGAACACATACGCGTCCTTTCCCTTCACCAACTCTCCACAGCAGCGACCAACCTCCAGTGTCCTTTCCGGCAGCTCCAGCTTTCCCAACTCCTCACTGATCGGCCCGACGATTTCGCCGATCCCAGGCTTCCCCCCTGGGTGCTTCTCCCCGCCCTCGCTGGTGAACCCCGCGTCGTCGGCGGACCCCAACCTTCTCCCACCCCATCCCAACATCCCGCCCCCGCCCCCGCAAGGACTGACGCTCCTCCCAAAGACGTGCCTGATGCCTTTCGGGGCGGGGTTCCTCCCTGCCGGCGAGCACCCCGCCGCGGGGGGTGGGCAGTCGCCCTACTTCGTGATGCGCCCCTCGTCGCCGCGGAAGGTCTTTCGGGTGCCGATGGTGCTCCCCGTCCCCGTCAACAACCCCCTCCCTGGGGTTGCCTCGCAGTCCAAAGGGCGGCCGCCACCCCCGCCACCGGCCCTCTATGCCCCCGTGTACGTCTCCATGGAGAACAAACGGCTGGTGCCGGTGGGGTCCTCTCTAGGAGGGGGGTACCCTCCTGCCAACCACCACCACCACAACTCCACCCATGAGATTCGCCGATTGGGGACGACGGAGGACTTCCCACACGGGGGCCGTACCGAGGTAGGGGGTCGTCTGCCGGTTTATCCTTCCCACTCGCACTACGTGGCATCTCGCACCGCCACCGTCGTCACGTTCCCATAAGGAAAAAAAGCGAGGAAAGACACCATCTTGAGGCGGGATTCAGAGGGAGGTAGAAGGGATCGACCGGAACTTGGTCAAGACGGTGCGTCACACGATTCGGGTTCGTTTTTCTACATGATCACTCGTAAACAAACACCAAGCGGGTGTAAGATGATTTGCTATAAAGTCAAATTTTCCCATTCATCACTTCGCACTGTTAAGAATGCTATTTTTCTTATCATGAGTGAACTTTTCATTCGCCAATATTATTCTTAAACCGAATATGAGCGTTAAACAGTGCATAATAGATGTATATAGATATATGCTTCTTTTTTTCAGTAAGAAAGTGCGGTAAAATCGCTTTACTTCATTCTTTTGGTGTTTCTTTTCTTTACACCGTTTTCGAAGCCCGTATTTATACTTTTTCGTTGATTCGTAATTACTTTACTTTCTTTAGATTTCGCGCCTCTTTGAGTTGCTTCTATGTTTCACTTCAAATTGATTTACTTTCATTTTTTATTCGCATCGCTTTAATTTATATGGCTTATTTTTTAACATCTCTTGCTTTTTTTCGCTTTTCGCTTCGTCTTTTTTTTTTTTGTATCCCTTTTACGCTATATTCTTAGAGCTCGCATATATATACACACACATTTATATATGGAACCATATCTATCTTCGTTTGCAATAGTTTTAATTCGTGCGCATTGAAAGACGACCCGACCGTAGAATCTTTTAAAGTATGAATACACTAACTGCTATCTTCAGAATGATAGCGAAGGTGAGTATAACTTTATTTTTACTTCGGTACGCAATCAAGTCTAAGCCGTGCGCTGTTAATTTCATGGTTTTATTTGAATAACTAAGAGGCAAAAATATTGTGTTCTAGTGATTAAATGCTCTTAAAAATTCTTTCACTAATTTTCATAGCTTTGGACACGGGGTGGTGGCTTATAGAGACAGAAACTTCTGTAAAGAAGTGATATCAAGTTTCGGAAAAGGATTGTATGAAAGTTGACTACCCTATTTTTCTATCAAGTCTTTGCATTTCTTTTTTCTTTAAATATATACATTCATACCTAATGCAAACATAAGATGAAAACGGAGACAAAGTGTGGTTCGACATACATAGTTTTTATTTTTGAAATCTATGCATACTCATGTTTTTTTCCATATTTTTAGGGATTCACGGATCAAAAAGTAACTTTTTTGATTCATTTTTATTACAGTTCTTAACTTTTTTGTTTCTTTTTTTTGGATTTCTGAGGTGAACTCGGAATCATTAGCTACCAAAAGTGATTCTTTAGTTTGAAGCTGTGCTTCTTTATACACATGAGTTATTGGGTATGGATTAAATATAAAATAAAATTGGAAATATATGACAGCAATAAATTATGAGTTAATAAGTAAATATAGATAAATATAAATATATATTAATATGCTTCGACTGATACATTTAGCATTGCTTTGATTCTATCTGAGTATCATCTTGTACCTTTTTAAGAAGTGCCTCAGCTAACAATTTTTCTATAAAAATGCATGTGTTTCTTAATATATGAACAGGGAAAGCTCGAATGTAACACAAAGCTGTAGTACACTCTTCTTTTTCAATTTCAAGTTGAGTGATCTTCGCTGCTTTGTACTTTTTCCTTTGTTTTCACGTCGATAGTGGTTACTTCAAGACAACCAAAAGGGATAAGTACAACTAATATTGTGGCTTTTTCAAAGCAAAAATCCCTTTATTTTTACTTCTTGTTTTTTAAAATATCCCATTACCCAAGCAATCTACAGAAAAGTGAAAAACATCTTCACTTCACTCATTCTACTGGTTCTATTGAGCACGCAGAAATACCCAAGAAAACCACCAAAAAAAGCGTATCAGTGTAAACCTGGTAAGTAGTATAGGGGAGAAATGGATAAGATTTTTTGTCTCATGAACGCAAAATATCATACTACAATCTCCTGTTTATGAGCTAGTGTGTAAAAAGGATCCATGGGTGGGGGAAGGTACAAGAGAAGCATTGTGTTGTTTCTTATTTCATGGGTATTTTTAGCCTTTTCATGTACGCATTCATGGGGGAAAAAGAATTATATAATATTTACCAACTTTTTTAGTAATGTTCCACGTAAAGCAGTAGCGTCAACAGTACAATTGACTTCTATGCAAATGTGATGAAGCAATATACATTGTGAGCAAATATTAGGTGTCTAAAATGCCTTTATGTGTGTATGCAACCTCAAATTCACACTCATATATACATATGAATTAATGTAAAGTAACTATGAAAATTTTTTTCCGTATGATAAACCAATGTGTTTTGGCTTGATATTTTCGTCTAATCCTTTTTCCTACTTTCCATTTCTTGATACTTTTCAGAGAGATAGTTGAGCGTAAAATCTAAGTGACTTTGTTAGCTACAAAGCTCATCCCCATGAATTTGGTTTCTATTTTCCCAACCTTATTTAAGTGATTGTGATATTATAGGTTTCATTTTTTTTGTGATATTTTCTTTTGCTTCATGAAAATCTAAGAGGATCAATTAACAGCTTACTGAGGAGAGATTATAATCTTCTGCAAACTCCGCCTATTGGAATTTATATAAGAAAGTTCTACTTTGGTATTTGTATTTGAAGTCGATAAATGGGTATGAAGTCTAAAACAGACTATACATCAACTTTCAGGCTTCTACCTAGTTGTAAAAAAATATACAAACTGCTTACCAAACATTTTTTGCACTTAATTTTAACTTTATCACTGCTTAACAGTTGATTTTAAATTAGTTTTCTTTGCTTGTTCGTCCTTAAAAAAAAAACTTCATTTTTCTACTAGTAATATTTCTAGTTTTTTTTTGGAGCTAGTAGCTGATTTTTTTCGCTGTCTATTGTTGTATTCGTTATTTGATGGGCCTTTTCCCCAAGACTTTCCCATCTCTTGGGTTTGCATGTACGGAAAGTTCTTTCTGCCCAGTGTTTAAGACACCAATTACATATTATGTGCTCTATGCCTAAAATTAGGATAAAAAAAAACGTGAACTGAGTTAAATGCTGTTTGGGATGAGCGAACTCCGATAAATTTATAATAATGCCATTTTCCTACGTATTCAATTCTCCTTGAATTTTCAGCTGAGGTCTACTGTGGACTAGAGATTTCAGGTCTTTAGTTTCAACTAATTTTCCTCTTCCCCAATATGAGAAGCATTTAATATTTGCAATTATGACAGGTTAAAAGTTGAACAATATTTTATCGAGGCAAACGTATCCACAAGGTCATCAAACAACCTAAGGTAGTTTCTATAGGGGGAGTGCTTGCATGCTCGCTAGATGCCTCCTGCATTCTCACTGAGCAAGATTTTCCTAAAAAGCGCTATTTTTTGCTTCGTAAAGGTGATTTTGATTCTATAACTAGTATGGTGGTAGTGTCGTGGGCCGGTGTGGTTCCCATCTACAACACGGCACTGAAAGTGTGCGCTGCATGGAGCATTTTAAAGTCCGATTCGCACTGTGCGACTCCAGATAGATTGTGCTGAGATGGAAAGGGATGATTAGTTATCTTGCCCTTATGCGTATCTTCTTTATCGAGAATACAATGCGTTTTGTTTTCATGGAAGAAAAATGAAATACTAAAGATCAGATTTGACATGGTTATAGAAGGCTAGTCCACTTTTGTAATTCTCTAATGCATTGCGGCAAGAGTTGAACCCTGCATGTCTTTCTTGCCGGAAAGCGTCGCATCATTATAGCGTATTCACGAATGTTTTTTTTTAAATGATTTGTCAAGTAAAAAGGAGCAAGATACATGCTTATGTATAGCAATAGTAACTAATCATGAATCGTTTCACCCATTATTCTTCATTATATTCGTCCAGGGAAACTTTCTCACGATCCCAAAACTCCGCCAACGCTGTTTCCAGCTTCGAACCATTGAAATTGAAGCTCGACCGGCCCCTTGCCGCAAAATCGAGACGAAATCAGCGAGGAAAACTATCCAATCATGCTAAATTAGAAGGTAGTGAATGCGAATTGCATGTGGAGACCAAAAACGATAATTCCACTTCTGCTGTGAATTGTCGATCCCCCTCCGCTTTGCGGGAGGGGGGGAGCCAGGATGTGGTTGCTGTGATGCCCACCAGCTCAATTTCCGATGGTGAACTCGCCAGCTTATCTAGCCAGAGTAAAAGGAAAGACGACAATTTTTTAGAGATCGAAAAGCGCGCTTGCATTGTGCTTGATCAAATTTTCATGCAAGACTCTAGCGACAGTACGATGCTCTGTAACATGAATCAGTACATTCAGCCTCTTAAGGATTACCAGAAGGCTTGCCAGAATCGCGCGATGTACAGGAGGGCAGATCTCATCCAGCAGGTATTGAGGAGACTTCGACTAGACGCGGAGTCGTATCACATGAATGAGCTGACAAAGGCGCAGATGAAGGATCGTGAAGCCTTGGAGGAGTTATATCGTCGGGATTTCCGTGAATTTCACCTTCTGTGGAATGCACGTATCGATGAGTTTGAAAAGCGGATGATGGAGCAAGAGATTCGATTAGTACAGCATCAAAATGACAAAATGATTAAGTTTCAGGAGGAAATACGGAGCTCTCCACCGCGGCTGCTTCGATATAGCCGTTCCCTAATCGAGTCGCGCATGCGTCAACAGTCGCTCGCACGACAGGAAAATTATATCTTTGCAGCGGCGGAAAAGCGGAAAGCTGACATCCTCGACGCACTGGATCTCACACGCTTTGAAGAATCCAAGGCCGCACTTTTCGCTCATCGCGAGCAAGCCCTTCGTCATCATCAGGATCAAGAATTATCTGCCTTGCAAAAAAGAATCGAGAGCCGACGATTGCTTCTCGAGCGCACCCGGCAGCAGGAGTTGGAGATTCTGCTTCAGAGATATATAAACGCTCGGAATGAGATGGAAATTCACCAGGGTATTGTGCGTAGCAAAACTGGTTTGATGCTGCAAAAACACTCATGCAATATGCGAGTGGATGGCAGCGGAAATGCTTCTCTTATGGAGAGTGTTGAATCTGGTGCATTCGGTACAATCATCAAGCATCGGTTGGAGCAAGCTCCTCGAGTTGCATCACCTAAAATAGAACAATGCGATGCTTAGAAATCCTTCTTTCATGAGTATGATTCTGCTCCTGAGTTGATTATAATATCATTCTGATATACCTATTCAAAATAGCAATAATGAAAAGGGAACCAGAACGTTGTGAATGGTTTCGCATTGTCCTAAAGATTGTACATTATTCAGAGGAGTAGAGGAGTTAGTGGTTCATGTTGCTAAGTGGTATCAAGATGGGTGAGTGCGCATGGGGTTTAGGTTGGGGAGAACATCTGCACCGCACGAGTTGTTTAACGTTACCATTTGTGTTTGTTCTGTTCCTTTAATAAGGGTGTATTGCCAATGACCTTGAAACTTGATGTGGAATTTATCGGATTTTGACCTTAAAATGCAATACACACTTGCAGTCATTATTAGTTTGTAGACTAGGCATCCTTCATGTGGTAATTAGCTGTCCTAAAGTGCGATCATTTTATTTTCCCTGAAATTTGATTCCATTAAAATAAACATGTTCGAAGATCTACTGGGAAATGAATGAAGAAAGATAAACATACAAAACGCTTGGTCACATTAATGTAAAAAAGAATATATCCACTGAATTATTGAATTCTATTCGATTAGCGTTTCTATACATATACGGGAAGGTAGAATCGAACAATCATTCTTTTTTTCCGTAAAATTTGTCCACATGGGACTAGAGGATGCATTCACGCAACGCATGTTTTCTATTGATTTTTAATAAGAAGCCTTGGATTATTATGTACATTTATTTCCGAGTGGTAAGAGGAAAATATGAAAGTACACTATGAGGTACTGTTTGGCTAGAGCGTCATGGAACCAAAGATATGAAAAGAAGAATTAAGTTGGGTATTTTTTTTATAAATTAGAAGCTCTTGATTTGACCTATTTCCTAGTGCCTTTATCTTACTTTTTCTATTTTTAAGTATAAAATATCACAGTAAGTGAGACAACGACACTCATAAAAAGAAAATAAATACGGACAAGTTGATTAGCTGATACAAGTAGCTAAGCAAAAAGATCAACCATGATCAGCACTCTTTTTTTCGATGAATCAGACTCGAATACGGTGCTTAGGGTTCGCCCCCAATCTTGTCGGGCATCGCCAGAGTTTCCATTGAGCGATTCTACAAACGCAGCAGCTCACTTGTCACGCTCCAGCCAGGCCTCTTTGTTGTACCATTACCCATCTTTTGAAGGTAGCGGTGCGGTTGCCGTGCCCGCCCTACATGCCATGTTATTTTGGTGGTTGGAGGGGTGTGGACGGAATCATCTCCATCTGCTCGCTGTAAACGATGATGAATGCGCCCATGAGGCGCGTGATAGCCAGTCTCGCATGCTTAGTGTGGAGCTTCCGATACCTGTGGTGGCGGGGGATGAACTGCGATCAGCCGAGGGGCTGCTGGCATGTGGCGTTTCGAGGTTAGCGGACAGCAGCAACTGCTTGGTGGTGACGTGGATATCCACCACTCTGGAGTTGGGCTACCTGCGCGTCATCCTGCAGCGGGATACGGACGCCCGGGGAACCATATTACTCACTCCAGAAGGGTCTATGGTCGAGGGCATTTATCTAGAGCGCATTAGAAATGCCTTTAGCCAGGACAGACGTCGTGGTGGCGGTGGCTTTGCCGTGAGTAGATTATTGGCGTCTGTCCATACCAAGGGCTGTACTAATGCCTTAATACCATTCACGCAGTGCGACACGCAGTCTAAGGATTTAACCACTACATCCCGGCCTAGCAGTGATCCGCACGATGAAAGCGACTATGGCGACCTCCGTGCGTGCGTCCTTTCTGAGATCCCAGAAGACCGCAGCGATGTTGTCGCGATATTTGTCGTGACAAACGGCCTGACGTTATGGCACGCGGAGCTGCATTTGGATGGCAGTGTGCAGGCACGCCTCTTCAAGGAGAATTCTCGCAGAGAGGAGACGGTTAACTGGTTCAACAAGACCGATTTGACTGAAGTCTCTACCACCCTGCATCAAAATATGGTTCATCAAACAGGTAAGGAGTCTCCTAAAAGCAACCAAAAAAGCTGGTTTGGGCGGCTTTTCAATCCAAACGACAAGAGAAAGTCAATGGGAACTGGCGGCGACAGCGACTCCAACGGGAACTGCAACTTAAACACGCCGAATCTCAGATATGCAGCTGTAACTGCCATACAAAATACTCCATATGTGGGGTTGCTTCGGTGGAACGGCATGTTCGAGCTGTATGACCATGATCTCAACCCATTAGAGTATTACCCCATATGCCCTTTGCCCTTGGGGGAAGTCATTACTGCTGTATATGGTAACCCCCTTTTTGTGCCAGAACCTCCTCTTCCCTTCACACGGGTGCATCAGTGGGCCTCTTACAACAGAGAGGCGTCTTCTATTCATATTTTCACATGTATCGGAACTCGGCAAGGCCGACACTTCGTGTGGTCAAGACTACCACGTATCCCACATAGTGTGGAGGATAGGTTTGTGATGCAATGTTCCTACAGTGTGGTACCTCCTATCGCAAGCGGCTCTCCAATTGGGTGCACCGTAGATGCCGCAGAGCGTTTGGCAGTTGTGTGGGACCTTGGCATTGAGGAGGAAACTCATCTTATGTGCTTGCGCTCCATCAGCTCAGCCTTACACCCCGCTTGTGATATCTCGGGTGTTCTGCAGATATTAGAGGCGAACCCTGGCCCAGAGAAGGAGTGGCAATGGTCTTCCACAAACACGTTCTTGTGCATCGGTGCACGCCTTGGTGGTGTGGTGAGCCACGGAGCTCATCTCGTACTGCTGGAGCACCGACTTGACTATCACCGTGCTTACGTGGTGCAGTTTGCGAGGCATTGGCTCCAGCATCTTATCGAGGTCAAACAGCTAGATATCCTAAGCGATATCGTCGACGCCGCTGAGGGTTCCGTCCAGGATGTGGCGCCAGGTTCGACTGAGCATATTTTGCCACCAAGATCTTTGTGCCTTGTCTCCACAGCAGATTTGGACAGTAAAACCGTGTCTGTTCTCTATCAGCTGCCTTCTTGTACAACTTTCTGGGAGGGCTGGGATGTCCTGCAGCTCTCTGCACGCGGGGTGGAAGATTTAACCGATATCCTTAGCGAGGCCTTTAAGCTACCCCTCTCAGGCTGTTTACCATCGCTATCTCGATTGCTGAGTGATGCGGCCTCCGCGAGTTACATGTCGTCAGGCAAGGTTTCCGAGGGAACGGTGCGGATTGCCATTCGTGAGGCGATGCGGGCGGAGCTCCAGTTTTCACTGCCCGGCATCTCGTTGGAGGTCTCACTCCCGAGTGTTCTCACCACTCCGAACATCTTCTTCTTTAGCTACAGCAGGCGCTATATCATGCATTCGGTGCTACGAGAACTGCTCAACCGAATCGCTTTCTTGGCCATAACATTTGTTGGGTGGGCGAGTTCGAGCGCGTGGAGTCTGGAAAGCCCTGCGACCTCAGAGCTGACGCGTGCCATTGCGTTCTTGGCCGCGGCGCATCACGTGGTCTGTGTCTCGGGCCCCGAGCTGGTTTGCCTCATCGATGCCACTACTGTTAAAAACACGGACGACATAGTCGGACAAATCCTTCAGATCTTTTTGTATCCCTCACCGTACGACCTTGTGATGAATGCCACAGATTCTCTTGAATCGTCCCGTTTCGTAATGCGGGTGGCTGATCGACTTCGGCGAGCCGGCGGCACGCGCTCGTTCAAGGCTGCCGTGGCGTGGGCGGCACAGCTTCGTCACTGGCATCCCATTCTTCAGCATTACACTCTTCTTCACGACCTCAGTGCTGGACGAACCACGAATAGCACCCACCAGCTTGCCATGTGCCAGACCGTATGCAGCAGTCTGAGTACGTTTACAGACGGTGTTGACCTTTCAAATATTCTTCTAGACCTCGAATTTCTGATGTCCGACGGGGAATACACCAGCTCATGGAGTGCGATGTTATCCTCGCCGCAACGGCGTGAAGAGCTGAGATGTTGGATACAAAAGGAGCCAGGTATGGCCGTTAAATTGTACGTTGTTGGTGTTCTCCGTCGGTTCATTCCGACAAATACGCTGGTGATGCACGTCTCTGCCTCTATAGTTCATAGATACTACTTTGTCGAACTTCTTTTGGTGCTTCAACACGTGCTTGCGGGTCCACTGCGACAGCAGTCCAAGGGATCGCTACCAAATCATACCGTTAAACGCAACACATGCGCAGAGGAGGGTAGCGAAGGAGATGCTGAGGAGGTTTGCAGACCTGATGGTGCGGCAGAAGCCCAGGGGTCTGTGCTCATGAGCTCCTTTTCCGCGCCGTCCCTTCAGTTTGCTTTGGAAGAACTGCGTATTGAGACGCTGCTATGCCTTTCGTATGCGGGTCTCACGGACTTTGATTTTAGCAGTAGTTTTCATGATCTAGAGGACGCCTTTAATCTTTCTGAGAAACTTGGTATTTTGGACCGCTACCTTGAGTCTTCGTCCATCATTATGGACGGCATCATCGAATGCGCGTGTACCTCTGAACAGCACATGGAGGCGCTTCTTGCGGTTAGTAATACCACCGTACGTTTGGATGAGGTGTTAGTCGGTAAGTGGTACAACTATGTTGCACGAATGCCTACTAGGAGTTCTACAGAGGCACTACGCTACCGGGCTATAATAGGTCTTTACCGCTACCTGATGCATCGCCACGCTTACGCACAGTGCGGTCGGGTGATGTCGGATATCGCCTCGCTGCTTCGCTGTTCACCGCAGCATCACAGCGCCGGGTTGTCTATATCGGTTGACGAGCTTGCTTCCATGGCTCTGCATGCCGTCCAGATGATTTATCCGCTATCCTTTACCGAGAACTCGTCGACTACTACGGGCGAACAGACCCTCGCAGGACTCGATAGCAGTGAGGATTGCGCACGAATGAACCCTGCGCTGGTGGTTTCCACTCTCCCTAGTGCTATTCCATGGCACTCAGCTCAAGTCCCTGGTATGGAGGCCACTTCCTATGCGCGTCGATTGCTTTCTCCGTTGGACCTGCCGTGGCTTGAACGGCGTGTTTATCAGGCGCACTGCGAGCGGAAGCTGTGGCAGCGTGGCAACATGCTCGACTGCCCGGACCTATGGGTGGATGGCGCTCCTCGTGGAGATTTTGAGCTCGCCGTTAAGAAGCTAACCTCTGCACTGATGGAGTCCAAACTATGGCCCGAGGCATACCGCTTCGCCACGCTTGCCGAGGCAGATGCATGCGAAGTGCTTGAAGAGTGGGTTACCCACCTGGTGCGGGAGGCAGATCTTGATGGTGACACGCGTGATGATGTCATTTTTGAGTGGTCTCAGCTCATAGAATATTGCGCGGAGCAGTCGACTTTGGGTAATCAATTTATGGGCTACCGCCGGGTTGTAAAAACAGCACTAAATTGGAGCTACACCAAGACATTGCCAGACCTGCGCGATGCTCACAGGGCTGCGGATCCTTACTCTGCCATTGCAACTCTTTTGGAAGTCTTCCATAACTACCAGCAGCATGTTGATCAGGAGGAATCCCATAAAGACAGAGATGAGGAGAATGTTGAGGTGACTACTTTTCGCAGGGCGCAGGCGTGGCTTCCATGGGTCGACGCCGCACGCATTGCGATTGATTTCCTTCAAATGTCTAAAAAATCTAGTCAATTCCCACAACATTGTATCACAAACGGGCAGTCCAATAAGGTTGGCGGAGAGAATGACAAAGTTGAGCGCGTGGCCATGACGCTCACGGCTGGTGTGCTTGATCCGCTAGCTCGCTACGGGAAAGAGCTGCTTCAGCAACCGGATGTAATGAGGCATCTGGAGGTTGTCAACGTGGATGAGGTTGCGCGGGAACTGTTAGCCAGTATATCCTGTTGAAGCAAAAGACGTCTGAAATTTTTTAATGAAGAGTTATTGCTTTCACATGCTGTGGTTACTGGCACAATTTGTCAGATCACAGGGGACTATGGCATGTTTTTACTTGCATGCTTTGAAGCATCTTGCAATGACTTTTTTTTTGGGATGGATGAATAGAGTAGAAAGTTGATGAAAGGACTAACGATTCGGTTGAGAGTTAAAGTCAGTAGTCTTTTTTTTTGAAAGGTGTAATAATAGAACTATTTCTTCCTCATATATATATATATTCTGTATGTCTTTTGGGTGGAAGGAACCTGTGTTGTACGATGTCACACAGGTGATTACTGATTTAAAGGTAGATAAGGGTGTATAAGCACTAACCACTTTTCCCGCCTCCAATGATGTAAATGTCCATAATTACCATTTTTGTGTCAAATTGTTGTCACAAAAACTTTCCTAACTGTCAACCTTCCCCCTTTTCACTTTTTTTTCTTATTCTAGTATTGAGAGGAGTTTTTTTTTTCATCTCTCATCTCTGTAATTCCTTACATAGTGATTCTGTTTCCAACGTTAGCGTTATTATCATTTCTGAGACTATACTTGGAGGGGTGCTAGATATTTTCACAAAAGTATTTAGTATTGTTGGTGTTGGTTCGATACGCGGACCATTTTCACCCTGAGCATACGCTAACATTCTCACTCAATTAGTTTGTGACAGTGATGAAGCGGCAGCGCAATAGTGATTTAAAGCGGCTTGGCCCCGCTGCTCCCGCTATGCGCCGCAGCCACGTTTTTCGAGATGCTCGCCAGGCGGAAACACAAATTAAAGCCGAAAAGCTCATACAAGATGCGGTAGATATGCAGCGTTTCTACTCACCAGGTGGTGGTAACAGCAGCACGGCACGCCTCACAATTTACAGTAATGAGGAGTTAGCCATTTACCGGCAGAAAACTCGCTCAGAGCTCGAAGAGCGGGTTAAACGTGGCTATACTTTTGTGGGTAATTGGATCAAGTACGCCCGCTGGGAAGCACAACAGAAGGATTTTGAACGGATGCGGGCCGTTCTGCAGCGTGCGATTGTGGTGCAGGGCGAAAACCCGAATTTCTGGCGGGATTACGCCGAGTTAGAGGCTTCAAACGGTTTTGTCCAGCAGGCCCGCGAGGTGTACAGTCGCGCTGTTAACATACTACCTCTTAGCACGGACCTCTGGCTCAAGTACTTAATCTTCGAGCAGGCAGCGGGCGAGGACGGGAATGTGCGGGATGTGTTTAATCGATGGGTTTCCGGTGAAAGCCCTTCGGACTGCGCTTTTGAGCTCTACGCCCTCTTTGAGGCTCAGTGCGGCCATTGCGAGGCGTGCCGGGATGTGCTGCGGCGGTATGTCGAGGCGCGAAACACCCCCGAGGCGTGGATCCTCTTTGGGCAAGTTGAGCGGTACGTTTTCGGTGACGGGCGGCGGGCGATCAGGACGCTCCAAACCGCACTTGAGGCCCTCCCAGATGAGTTCTTATGGGGTCCTGCACAGTGCCGCGTTCCCTTGTTTCTCGCGGAGGTGATGGTGGAGGAATCCCAGATATCGGAGGCTCGCGCCATGTACCAGACCCTTCTTCGTAATCTTTGCTGTGATGACCGGCGGGGGGATCGCGGCGGTAGTCTGGCGGACCTTGTCCTCAGCGCTTACAGCTCCTTTGAGCGACTACATGGCGATCGGGAGAACTGCGAGGCCTTATCCCGTTTCTCAGCCAAGCATCTGTACGAAAGGAGGCTGAAAGACGACCCCGAAGACATCAGCGCCCGCATAAGTCTGTACTTGCTGCTTCGGGAGGAGGAGGAGGAGGGGGAGGCGGGTTCTGGGATGGCCGATCGATCCAATTCCCTAGCCCTGGCAACGACGCCTCCCGCGGCGGCGGCTTTAACCTCTTCACCGAAGCCGAACACGACGTCGATGCAGTGCCTAAAAGGGGTTCTTCGCACCGCGGCAACGCAGCCGGATCGTGCGCAGCAACGAGCGGTGCTACTGATGGAGTACGCCCGGCGTGCGGAGGCGGGGGGCCAGATGAAAACCGCCCGGCAAGCCTTGATGAAGGGGATTGCAGAGTTCCCTTTCGAAGAGGCGACCTGCACCCGGCTGTGGTTGGAGGCGGCCGCCTTTGAAGAGCGTCAGGGCGAGTTTGATCGCGCGCGCCGCCTGCTCAAAGACGCCGCGGCTGTTTGCCACGACCCGACCATCTTCAGCTCCTCTATTCGTCTGGAGCATCGCGCGCTCGAACGGGGCGCCGTTGCCGGCCACGCAGAGTACCTCACGCGGGTGCGGCGAATCTACCAGGACGCCCTACGCGCCTTTCCAACCCACGAGGAGTTGTGGTTTGGTTTCGCTAAGATGGAGGAAAAGGAGGGCCAAGTCGCGAAATCCCACGCCCTTTATAGCGCGTGTGCTAAAATGCTCACGGCGGAGGCGGCCAAGACGAAATCCTACGCCGAGCGGTACGCGTTGCTTGGCCGGGTGGATCGCGCCTGGGCGCACCGCATCGCCCTCCAGACGCGCCTGATCAAGCGTCTCCAGGCGGCTGTAAAATCTGCCGAGGCGGCCTCCATGCCCTTATCCGAGGTCGATGACCTTGCCGGGAGACTTCGCAAGGCAAGAAGCGACCTTCATGAGGTCTATCTGGCCCTGCTCGACAGCGTGTGGAGGGACTACACCTACGAGGCGGTGGCCTGGAAAGGGACCTACGAGCAACAACAGCCCTTAGACAATCAAGGAGAAAGGCATGCAGGGGTGATGGGGATGGATGGCGGTGCGCCTGGCGAAGACTCGCGGGCGCTCGTTCCGCCACCGCCAAGCCTTCCCGATACGCTGGCTCCCGCGATGGCGCGTTGGTCGGATGCCGTCTCCGCCGTCAAGGGTTTTTTCGTTTCCAAAGAGGGTGGCGATGCGTTCCCTGTTGAGCAGCCGGAAGGGCACTTGGATGGTCCGTCCAATGTGCAGACACACCAGCACAACTCTCACCTCTTGCTTATGCGGGATCTTTTCAAGTCGATGATCGCGAAGCAACGGGATGTTCTACGGTGTACATTGGGCTATACAAAGCTGACCGGATTTGATGCTGGCGAGTTAATCAACAAATGGGTGGAGTTGCTTCTATCGCCACTGCTGCACGAGTGGAGCGCGTTTGAGGCGTTGGAGGGTGGGTCGCTGGCGGCAGTGAAGGAGCATGTGAGCGCACCTGTTAAGCGGCGAAGAAGGCTATTTGTGAAGTAAAAACCAAACCCCAGACGAAAGGGCCAATGCGAACGACAATCATGGATAAATTGACGACGTAGCAAAGGGATTGCACGCGTATGTGGCGTCGGAGGGGCGGGGTCGGCGGGAATAGAGGATACGGTTCGATGACCTGCAAATTACTTTGTATCAATCGAAATCGATAAATAAGGTCTCGGCTGATCTTGATTTATATTGACATGCCATAAATAGTGAGGACACATACTGTTTGATAGCATCCTTGTATTTTTCTCATAAAATTACCATTTGATAAGTTAAACTGATTGTCTTCTATCATTTTTTTAAAAGTTGTTCCTTTATCCTACCACCGTTGTTTTTCTCATTCTATGTTGTCTCATCATGAATTGTATCAAAAATTAGCAATACCAAAACAATAAAAAACCAAGGCATACGTACCTTATTTAGATTTCATTCTTTTGTATTTCAATAGTTAATTGTGGCTTATGTCCCGGCCAGGTTACGACAGGAATTAAATATCAAAAGGCATTTCTTAGCTAGCATCTAATTTTCATGCATTTTATTTTTGAATGTCTCACTTTTTTCCTGGGTTAAATTCAGAGCCTTGCGTGCAGTCGGGAGCGAACCTCATGGGCTCTCTGAGGTGTCTGTTTGATCGTCATAGCCGCACCCGATTGTCTGGTTATAAAAAAAGGTTTTGGGTTGTCAATACTGCGTATAATCGACTTGAGGTGTACAAAAATGATCAGGCGCACACATGGCAACATGTGGTGTGGGCTCGAGACATTCGAAATGTTGTATATGCTCGTGATAAGCAAAATCGTTTTTACATGATGATTTTACAAACCCGCAACAATCATAACATTCGGTTTCGTATGGACTCCTCTGAGGAGCGTGAGGAGTGGTACAATGCGATTACAAAGTTGATGGATGCGTACTCGACCACAAATAGACTTGTGAATATCCTTCATATGGCCGACCGACAGTGCCGTCTGATGAGTTATAAGTTGAAGGTTCGGATTAACGTCGAGGCCACATTGCTTATCTCAAAGATGCTACAAAACGTTTTTCAGTACGTTCTTGAAGCCGTGGATGCGGCGATCGCGAACATAGCCGTTGTGGTGCGGACTTATGGGGCAGATATGGAGGCCCCTCTCAGCTACACCCTTTTCGTTGACGTCTGCACATCGGATAGAGACCGAGTTTCCAAGGGCCCTTGCTACGACCCCATCAAGCGCCGCATGGTGATGAACGTCGCGCTTTATCATCACGCTCCTGGGAGCGTGAACTTCAGCGTAACCAGCGCCGAGGAGGTGCTGCAGCTTTTACAATCCGACGTCTTTCGCAACCCGTTGGTGGAGGGATGGATTACGAACCTGCCTGGGTGCGCTGCTATCTGCCAGTCCATCCGGGATACTCTGAAGACGAAGAGCTTGGGCTTTACCTTGAATTGGGGCTTGAATTTTAAGAATAATGCGAATACTGAGGCGTATTTGCAGAGTTTTGTAAACTTAGACTTTTTCAAGGCTATTTATTATGATGTTAAGGAGGCCCTCAATGATGTTATGCAGTTGCTTATGGAGGATGGGTTCTCGGCTGAATCAGCGGGGATGTTTTCCGATTTGCTCAACCCGGTCCACTCATCCTTCATGATAAAGCAGAGACAACGCAACATGGAAAGCAAGCTCCACTCAGATGGAAAATCTACGAGTAACTCTAAGCAAATTGCCAGTCCTATTCTGAACTCAGGACTTACTGGTGGTCCCCTAGTCTGTGATGATGAATTGTTCAAGTTAGCTATCTCCAATTGTGCGGCCGGACTCATTTCAAAAAACATTACCGGCGTGGCGATTGTGCTAGAAGAGAAAATGGTACACGAGTGCAAGTGCCCACCACAGTTGTGTGTGGAGCACACGCTGGAGTATGGGCAACGATTGCGCTCGGTGTTCGTTCTGCTGAGCGAATACCGAAGGGTTTTTTCGAAGTCTTTGTCAGACTTTTCTTACGGTGTTCCACTCAAAAGTCAGCTTTTCCAAGTCGCACTCCATGATTTGCTTTACAGGAAGGTGATGACGTTACGTTCCAAAATGAGCCAAATGTTCAACAAACGCATCAGTGTAGTTATTGAGTGGGATCAGTTTCTAAATGCCCTAAAGGCAATCGGCATCGATTTAGCCCTCAAGGATTTCCTGTCGCTCCTGAACGGGATATCCACATTCTACCTTCCACGTCTCCAGAAAGTGGTAGGGGTGCTTAAGCGCACACCCGACGTCATCTTGAGCGGTATCTCCAACGACGTATCAACCTCTACCGCTCACCCAAGGAGTAGCCTGTTCGAAGTCTTCTGCCAGTGTGTGTCGTCAATTCACGTCAACTTTCTCAGCTTTAAAGAACTCAAGGCAGGACAGACAATACCAGAACCCAGGGTCGTGGACGGCTTGCTCGTCGACACGTTAGTGTGCGTGAAGTCAGACGCGTTGTTGAGCCTTTCGGAGACCATAAAGAAAAGCCAGCTCCAATTGCAAGGGCAGTCGCTTACTTGCGTTTCGGTTGCCGAACTGGATGCATTGAATTTACTAAATGATGTGCAGGTGTGCGCGCTCACGGCGAATCTCGGGGCGTGGTGCGCGAGCTACTTCTCTGTCGAGGAGCATTATGTTCCTCTTCGCAGGGATGCTTTTACATTGCGAGAGGATGAGTTCGAAGGCTGCAGCGATACGTGCGTAGCGCACGAACCGATCCCGGAGCTAAACTACGGCGAGATGGTGGCGAACGAGCGAAGCTCCGAGATACAACTGTTCAACCTGAGGCGTGTCGTTAACACTGTGTACGATTCACAGGGTGATCATGTGAATCTCAAAATTGGTACGAGTAACATTATCCAAGCGATTCGCTCGCTTTCCGCGGCGTTCAGGGGGAAGCGTATTATGAAACACGACCTCTTACGCGTGCTTGTGGTGAATCTGCATCGTTTGCGGGAACTCTATTCTAACGCGGTTGACAGGAAAACGGATATGCTTCTAAGTGAAGACAAATCAGAGCTGGTGTTAAAAAATTTTTGCGAGTATGAGGAGAGTGAAGAAGACATTTTGTTCTTCCTGCGTGATGGCACAGAGCCTCATCCAGGGCCCCAGTCCATTCCCTCGTCTATATATTATAAGTACATGTCCATCTCACTCGGTAAAGTTCCATTCGGCGATAGGGACCTCGAGTACAGGTGCCCTGACTCCTACAATCGAAATATCGTGAACTCTCCTTACTCTACAACGCGGCCGGCAGATGTATTCTCCGCGTCTGCCATCTCCTCGCCTGTAAAATACCATGATGACAACATCAACCGAGGTGGTAAGCCTGTTCCCAACGATGATAGGAATCGTGGTCAGGGGTCACGCAACGCCCAATCACAACTCTACACGGAGAACAAGTACAACTTTCCCACGATTTGCCACGTTGCGCTGAACTATCTTCTGCCGCGCGAGGCTCTTTTAGCGAGCAAAGCCTGGCGGACAGGGTTCGTTTTTGGCTTGGAGAATGTAGGGAAGTCTTTGATCATCAATAGCCTTAGCGGATTAGTGCTGCCAACCGTCGCGACGATAGGTCTTTCGCAGCACGTCGTATCATTCAAGGAGTGGGTCTTCTCGCTACATGAGCTCGGTGGCCGCGAGAGCTTCCGAGAAAACTGGATGTACTACCGCAAGAATATGAAGGAGGTGAACTTCTTGTTTTTCGTGATGGATTGCATGAATTCACACACCTTCGGTGACGCCTACCGGTACCTGAAAAGCGTGACGGATTACTACAACAAGATACCTCTGGTGATTATTTTCAACAACTTTCAAGACCTCCCGCGCCGGTTAACCAACTCGGAGCTGAATATGCGCATCAACCTTAATGAAATATCTATGGCCAATCCGAATCGCACGATTATCACGGCAAACTGTAACATTACGGTGGTTCATTCGTCCTTTCGTACGATACCGATGTCGCTTCAGACTGCGTTGAAGGAGTTATCGGATGTGCTTTTGGCATCCTGCCCCGAGCACCTTAAGCCCTCCATCCCAAAGGTTCCTCCGGAAGGGCAAGCCTCCTTTTCCAGCCCTGATTACCTTGTGGATGGCTACGGTATGGTTCTCGACTTTGCCGGGAACGTCCTGCGGACAAGATAGGGAGACTTTTTCCTCGACTTGTATACGTGTTGCCGCTGGCATTGAGGCCTTTTCGTTTTCTCATTTCTGAACTCTTCACGACCATATAGCGGGAAGGTGCATAGTTCCAGATGGGTGGGTGTCAATACGAAACGGGGTGTCCTGTAAACTGAAGGGAGCATGCCCGCTCTTGATAAATTACCCGTTTTTTATTTCTCTCAGAAGATTCTATTTTTTGTTTTTCAGTTTCATAGCTGAAACAACACAGAACCTCTTGGAATGGGATTGCATGCCTTTTTATTCCTTTTAATCTTCTCTTGCGACATCGTTTTTTTCTTTTCGTTTATGCAAACGATTCATTTGATGCCACTTTTTGTTACGGTGACACTAACCTTTTGCGCAAAGGTAAGCCTGACATCGCGTATTTTTATCTTGTATAAGGTAGTTCAAACGGGATGTTGCTATTTTTTTCCGCGATGTGACCTGCCTTGTAAATTTTTATACACTAAATAGGGTTTTCTTCTCCATGCCTTAACTTCAGCATACACAAAAAAATCTTCAGTTTCTTTTCCCAGATGATGCCGTGCTTTTTATGAATTATTCAAATATAGCTGCTTAGCAGTTTTTGGAATGTATATGGTGAAGTTTTAAATCATACAGGACTCATTTCAAAAGGTGAAAAACAGTTGTGTTGGAGTACTAATTTGAATTATATTTGAAATCCGAACGGGGTAGCTCATTTGGCTTTTGAGGAAGCGGGTAGCGTATTGAAGGGAATAAATTTTTCCAGGTGGAGGGAGATGTATTTTGTTTTTAAATTGTTCATTACTGTGGTGCCCCTGTTCAGCACCAAAATCCTCTCACACTCCCCCCCCCTCTTCTCCTCTCCCTTTCTAAAAAGATTGATCTTCCGACGTACGTATCCTTATAGTTATTTACTTCTGTAGATCAATATGAACGAACTTTATTTGGGTACAAATCAGTCCCGCGAGAATTTCAGCAAATGGTGCAAGAAAAGAGGTATCTTTCTGCATCCAGACGTCGTTTTTCTCTTTCCAACCAAAACGATGGGCATGGGTGTCTTCGCGAAGCGTAATTTACCGAGCGGAACGGTGGTCGTGAGCTGCCCGATGAGCTCCTCGATCTCTCCGTATTCCGATCTTTCCCTGGAGGCGCCTAGCATCCAGGCGTTGCGTGCTTCTGCGGAGATTCAAAAGGATCCCGTGCTGTGCGTCGTGCTACGCCTCATTTCCGAGCTGAGCAGACCGAAATCCCCGTGGCGGCCTTGGCTGGAGGTCTGCCCACGGATGACGGAGCATTTGTTCAGCCTCAACGAGGCTCAAAAGGCGCTGTTGATGCCCTCGACAAGATCGCCATCGATGAACGTCAGCCCCCCGGGTGAGAAGAACGAGGATGCGACCTCTTGCCGTTCTTCCTTGCCATGCGGGCCCCTACCTCCGTGGTCGGGGGTATCTCAGCAGCTTTTGGAGATGGAGATCGACTCCCGTTGGGAAAAGGCGCGTCGTTTCATGCGCGATCATCCCGATTTCTGGCCTCCCGCCGTTCAGGAGGACTTTGGGTTGTTTTGCGAGTGCGTGGCGCAGGTCGTTTCGCGTAACTTTCACCGTGAGGAGACCGTCGCGCGGGAGGGCCCTTACCTTTTGCCTGGTCTGGATATCATTAATCACTCGTTTGAGCCGAACTGCGTGTTTAATATACGCGGTGGGGGTAGGAAACACGCGATGGAGTTTGCGGTCCTCACCTCGCGCGCTTTGCAGGCGCGTGAGCAGATTTTCTGCTCCTACGGCCGCATTGGTGCGCCGAGGTTCGTCGTGGAGTTTCAATTCATCACGGAGGCTGTGAAGCGTGAGGATATGGTGCGGTTCTCCGCGGAGACCCTTGTCGGGATTTCGACAGAGCTCCACTGCCGACCACGCCGGATCGTGGACGCGGGAGCCTCGGTAAGGGAGCAGGACTGCCGAAAGGATATGCGCTATCGTGTGGATCGCCTGCAGCGCACTGGTATCCTTTACGATGAGGGGTTGTATCTCCTGCAGCCCGATTTCCACCCCCCTCGCGCCGCGATAGCCTCCACGGAGGTATCGGGCGGCGGTTCCGCCTCGCAGGAGGTCGAGGGCGTCGGGGAGCGGCGCGCGAAGCATCAGGAGGAGGTCCGGGAGCACTTGCGCATCCTCCTCTTCGTCGTCTATTGCCTGCGCTCCGATCGAGAGGTCTTCGAGAGCACCTACCGCGGCGTGCCTCGCGACTGGGAGCCGCCGATAACGGAGCAGCTCAAGACGTGGGTGAGGGAGATGCTTGGGGAGAAGCGGAAGGTGGTAGCTTTTCAGAGCGAGCACCTCAACGATGTCTTCGGGGAGGACGCTGCTGTAGATGCCTCTCCTCCTTCTTCTTCTCCCTCTCCCTCTCCCTCTCCCTCACCCACCCCCACCGCCCCGATAGGCCGACGACACCTCCTCCGTGAGGTTTTGCAATCCGAACTTAGCATCTTGGAAAAGTATGAGTTAATTATCCAAAATTTGCCCTGCAGTCAGCACAATCATTAAGCCCTGTGGGAATGACGGAAGCAGAAGCGGACTTCAGCCAGTAAAACTATCCTTTTTTTTTATAGCGGCGAGGGTGGGATGGGGAGAAGTCAATTTCAACGTGAGAACAATTTATTCAGCTTAATGAATTTCACGTTACGTTAGGACCACTGTGTTATAATTTTTTCTTAAATTAAACAACTCGCTCGAGTAAATACTTTCATGCTCTTATCACCCCATTGAGAGAGAGATGAACAGATCGGAAAGTGCGCTAAACCTTTTCTGCATATTATCATTTCATTCTTTTTTTATGTATGTCTTTCCCATCGATTATGCATAATGTTTTGCTATGTGCCGTTTCCTCATTCTCCCTTCTTTTGGTCGCTAGCCTGATATTATCTGTATCGTAGTTCTCATGCCTGTATCGGTACGTACTATTTTTTTCTTGTGAAGTATCACTATTATTAGCTTCTTTTGGTAGGGTTGATTAATAAAGCTCTGGATATTGATTCTTCTATTGGCTTTCGCCCTGTTGTACTCTTATTGCTTCCCTATAACCTGGTAAGAGTGGGCTATGGGAAAGCTTACGATTTGTGTGCACAAATGTGATCTTTTGCGCAGCTTTCAATATCCGAATACAAATCTACGTGTCGTTATCTCAGTGGACAATACCTATCGATTTCAAACGCGAGTCGTGAATGGTACCCATTCGCCTGTGTACGAGGAGACCTTTTCCGTCGGCAACACCCATCATTTGGCAAAAATTGAAGTCTCTGTTTGGCATGTCATGAAGACCAAGGTGATCGACCTCAACAGCGCGCTGAACACCCTCGGGATAGGAAATGCGATTGGCATTAGTAATAATGATGCGACCTCGAAAGGCTTGGGGGATAACTCTGCCGGGCACTTCGCCGCGGCCAATCCCGCAGGCGAAGTTGGCGGGAATGTTCTTCTCGGGCGCTGCCATTTGTCCATCCAGCGTCTGACGAAAGGGCAGCGAAAGACCCGCGCCTACGTTCTTGGAACCTTGCCGAAGAAGAAGGATGTGGCCTGGATTGAGGATCCTGTGGGCGTCGCGGGAGCAATCACCATCACCCTCCACAGCGACACCCTCGGGGAATCGCCCGAGGTGCTGAACATCAACGAGCAGCTGGAGGTTAGCTATATCCAACGTCTCAAGCGGCTGCTGCTGCGGTATGATCCAAAAAAGATACCTGTGCTGGATATTATCCTGTCGAATGTGAGGGATCCGAGCGAGTTAGGGGAGGGTGTGGTGCCAATTAAACCAAAAGCACAGTTGTTGGCGACGTCGAGCGCGCGTTACTCCTCCCTGAGAGAGGGTTCCACCTCAACTCGGATCAGTGATTTGGAGGATCCTTCGCTGAATGTTTCACACCCGGATGAGTACGAATCGTTTTCCGAGCTCATGAGACGACTTTGTCGTGCCTATCATGGTGAAGAGCCCGACAAGTTCAGCGTTTCCGTGAACGTCAGCGGCTGTTCCCATTTAGACCGCAGCGTCATGGATAAATCGCTCTCCTCCTCGGCAAACGTCTACGTGATTCTGCGGACGAGCTCGCAGGACTTCGTAACGGAGGAGGTGAAGTTGCATAGCACGATATCGTGGCCGATGAACGCGTGTGTGTTCGACATCATCGACCTCGATTCATTCACCCTCTTTGTGGTGGTGATGGGCAGGGTGGGGAGTAAGTTTTACCAAGTGGGGCATGCGAAGCTCGGACTGCTTGGTCTACTCCGCGAGCGTGTCTCAGCTCGAAACATGTATCTTTGCTTCTTTAGTGGATCGAACTCGCGAGCGGTTGTTGGGAGGGTGCATATCTTCCTCGAGCCGTTGAACTTTGGGGAGACGCCGCTTAACATCGCGAAATGCATTGACGAATACTACGATCGACTAGGTATTTTTTTAAAGCAATACGATCTGATGCTTCTGTCGAAGATGGATATGTTCATTCGTGGCCGCGCGGGCCGTCTGGAGGATTTCATGAATGAACTAATCATGCTGTATGGCTATGAACCCAACACCGCGCAGCTCCAGGTGACTGTGAATTCGATCGTCGCGCTGCACGAGAGCCCCACCATCGAGCTGAATAAAAAGCGCGTCGTGGTAGTTGTAACGATGGGGGGCGTTTCTTTCCGCACAAAGTCGCACGAGGTCCGGCGCTTCACGGAGACGCGCTTTGGCGAGGATCATATATTCAACGTCGTACGCGAAACCGACTATATCCGTGTGGATGTCGTCAAAGCCTCTGATGAGAAGGTGGTGTACGGCTCGGTGGAGTTTAGTTGCCTGAATATGCAGTGTGGTATGCCGAGTACGCGAAGGCTGTACCTTGTTGGGAACTGCGGCAAGCCAAATGCGTATTTTACCGGTATCATAACTATTACGCTCTTTAGCGATGACATCGGGTGCTCCTACAAGGTGGATGAGGATTTGGACGACATGTACACTGGGCGACTAAGACGCTATGCCGAACGATACTTTCCGGAAAGTCTACACTGTGTAAACCTTGCCACAGCGGCAATTTTTGATATGGAGAGTTTTATGGCTGAGCTTTCCGTCACCCATACAAAAGAGGCTCCCACCTACGCGGTCTTCATGACTATTCTCGGGTGTCGACAGCTTCCCTCGGGCTTTAGTGGGATCAGCCCATACGTGGTCGTCCGCCTGGGTATCGACAGCTACAGTACCAGGTGGATAAAGGACTCCACGGAGCCGGATTATTTCGAGTTCACCGAGTTTTACTGCGATCAGCTCAGCGAAAAGTGCATCACGTTGGTTGTGATGGATCATTCTGACATGGGCCACGACAGAGAGGTTGGCTACGTGGTCCTTTCACTCGAACACGTGAAACTCGGGCAGCTCTATCACGACTTTGAGCCTCTCCAGCCCTTCAAGAAATCCCGAAAGGAGGGGGATCCAGATGTCCACAAGGGGCCGAGTGCTGTGCATCATCATTACGCCACGAATAGCTCCTGCAGCGGCTCAATTGACAAGAAAAAATCGATCGGATCGGTTGGCTTTAAGTTTTCGGTCGTCAACCTTAAGTACGTGGATCAGACGCGGGCGCAGGTGATTCGCCGCGAATACTTTCATCACCACAGCGATCCCACCAACCCCGTCCTCGACGTCGACTCCCTTCAGCAGCTGGAGTCGGGGTCGAACAACGGTCGCCCCTTGGGCTCGAGCGATGCGGCCTCGGCGGATGGGGGGAACCCCCGTGGTGCCGGCGCCTCCCCGATCCGGCTGTTTCGCTCCGCCGCGATGAATTTGCGGTTCATTGGGAAGGTCCGGAAGTTCGTGATGCGGCGCTCCGTCGAGTTTGTTGAGCATTTTCAGCGCAACGTCCGCCTTTCCAATGATTCCAGCCTCTCCCAGTCCTCCTCCGAGACGCTGGAGGTGGGGGAGCCCGTGCTGGCGGCGAAGTGCCCCACCTTCAACATCATGGATCGGTTTTATGCCTTGTTCGGGCACCATTTCATGCTCGATTCGAACACGAGCAACGGCGTCGATTCCGAGCTGGAGGTCTCGGCGGATCACCCGCAGGTGGTTTCCAAGTTTTCCAACGTCGGGAGCACCCCTCTCGGGGAGGCTGGGGGGATGGTACTCCACGTTCGCGTGCTCTTTTGCAAGAATTTGATTCAAACCTCCTCTCGCTGGCTGAACCCGTACCTCCTGCTCTTCACCGCAAGCGAATCGCATCGCACGCAGATGGACTTCGAAACCCCCAACCCTGTCTACGCCGAGGAGTTCACCTTTCGGGTGCTCGATCCTTATGAGGATTTTCTCCAGCTTTATGTCCTCACCGACACCCCATATGGGGTGAAGCGGCTCGGCCATTGCGTGCTTTCGCTTTGCAACGTTCGCCGTGGGCAGCCACACACCCGCCGCGCCTCCCTCGTCGTCGACTCCAACACCCCAAACGCCTTCGAACACGGCAGCGTCTACGTCCTTTTGATGGGGGAGAACTTCGGCCTGCAATACCTTCCTTCCGCCGACGCGGAGAATCGGTTGCGGGAGCAAATCCACGGCTACCTTGTCCACGCCGCCCCTTCCCAGCTGCACTGGTTGGAGTGGTTTGTCGGCACCTACGCGGACCTCAACAAGAGCGTTTTGCCGCGGCTGTTTGGAAAGCACTACCTCGTGAATAAATCGAAACAGGCGGCGGTCGTGAAGGTCGGGATTCGGACTCTGACGAAGCTGTCGTTGAATGGGATCTACGCGAGTGGGAACTGCGCGGTGAAGGTGAAGGTGGGGTCGAAGACGTACGCCGAAACCCGCGTCGCGGTCGGCGTGGATGGCCATTTTCAGGTCGACCAGACGCTGGAGATCAAGTTGGAGAACATCGAAACGGTTATCCTGCGGATTGTCGTGATTATCAACGGCAAGATCAAAGGGGGGGAGTGTTGGGTGAATTTGGCGGATCTTCACCGTGGGATCGTGCAGGAACGCACGCACATGCTCGTGCAGAACGTTCGAGGTCCGAACCCCGCCCCTTGTGGTCTTATTACCATCTCCCTCCTCAGCCACGATTTCGGCAGCTACTCCGAGCCCCCTTCCAAGCAAGAGGAGGCGGTCTACACGCGTCTGCAGCGATACTTATCGTACTATAAACCCTTTGAACTCATTAACGCTGATATCATCTTTTCCAGTGTGTTCAACCCCAATGCGTATATGCGAAAGCTGATCGACACCTACGGGCCGGATCCCGGGGATTTCCCTCTTCGCGTGGTGATTAAGCGCTGTATGAATTTATACTTCAGCAGTCACGGCAACGGCATCGGCGGTGATGCATCTCCGGGCCGTTCGAGAACTTCGATCAACCCTTTTTGTCTGCTGCGCTGCGGGCTTGACGAGTACCGCACCCGTATCAGCGAGGGCAAAGGGGAGTGGATTTTTAATGAGTCCTTCACGGTTCACGTTGGGCTGCCGGAGCTGGAGGTGATTGAGTTGATCGTGTTCGATTTCTACGCCTCCAAGAACATCGAGATCGGCCGCACGCGTGTGTTTATTGATAAACTCAAGCGAGGGATCATCAACTCCCGCAAGCTGCTGCTCGTTTCCAACGCGGGAACGAAGTCCGCGGTGGTGAACGGGATCGTGGAGTTGGATTTGTTTTCAAATGCGATCGGCGCCCCAGCGTACCGATCGCAGTCGGGGGCCTCCTCGCCGTCGTACGCCCGCCTTGCCTCCCTCTCCCTTGGCGGGAGCAGCGATCCGACAGAGACGACCACGCGAGTCCATGGGGTTCGCCCCGACCCCAGGTACTCCTCCTCGGAGCGTGATTTACCCCGTTTTTCCCCTTTAACCCATCCGAAAGAGGCTGAAGGGGAGAAAGAGAAAGAGAAAGAGGAGGAGGGCGGAGGCGGAGGGGGATCGTCGCGCTCCGAACGCGTCCCCCAGCCTCGTTACCTCGACGACGCGCTTCGCCTTCCTCTTCACGCCTCCCCTCACACGCCCGCGAGCGATACTCGGAGTGTGAGTAGCGTCTTTGAGGAGGCGGATATCTATCAGGTGCCGCATTTTTTCTCCCCGGTCGGGGCGGAAATGGGGGCGGGGAGTCCGAATGCGAGCCTGGCGCCCGCGATGAACCCCGCGGAGCTGGCGGATCGCCCGGTGGAGGTGACGATTGTCGGGTTCACCTTCACGAGCGTCGGGGTGGTCCCGACCGGGCGGGAGCTCTACGTGCGCGTGGTGGACGGCCAAGGGGTGCTTTTCCGGACGGAACCGATGCCCTTGGCGCGGCTCGTCCGCCTCGGCCGCGGGTTTCCCGTCCCCCACGTCGTCCTCCGGCCGGATGTCATTTTGACGATGAAACTCGGCGTCCGCGGCGCCTTCGCGAACACGCCGCTGTGCTACACCGACTTCTGCTTCAACGACTGCCATCGCGGCCTCAACGTGAAGCACCTCCGGCTCTACGACCCGCACCACCGCTTCGTCGGGGCGGCGTTGTTGAAAATCGGGGTGCCGGATTTGCCGCTGCCGCCGTCGTGGGCCCCTCGCCGGGTCGCCGCGGCCTCGCTGGAGTTGATCACGGACGACATCGCCTCCTTAGGGGAGCGCTACAGCCCGCAAAGTTTGCAAGGCCTCGACCCCACCCTCTCCCGCGCGCTCGATCTCCGTCGGCTGCATCACACGCTGCGGCGAAAACTCGCGCCGGACGTCCTCGCGACCGTCTACGTCCTCATCCACGCCGTCGACCTCGACGACGGCGAACGGCCACGGGAAGGCGGGGAGGAAGGGGGGGATCCGGGGTGCGTCGTGGCGGTCGAGGTCGGCGGGGACGCCGTCGAGACGGCGCGGCAGCTCCCGGCCGCGCACGGCGGCCAACGGGTTTCGTTCTTCCCCTACGGCATGTCACGCGCGGAGACGCGGACGCTGGTGTTTTGCCCGATTCGCGTCGACCTCCCCGCGACGGAGTTCGCCGCCCCGATGACGATTCGCGTGCGGGAAGGGAAAGGAAAAGCCGAAGGGGGAAGAAAAAGCGGCGGAAAGGGGATCGAAATCGGGCGTGCGGTGGTCTCCCCTCACGCCCTCCTCACGCCGGAGGTGTTCGACCTCTTCGAGCGCGTTCGCGTGCCCCTCGTTCGAGTGAAGCAGGCGGCGAATTGCGTGCAGACGCGACCGGTGGGCAGTCTCGTCTTCTCCATCGCGCCCGCCGCGTACGAGCGATACGTCCCGCCGGTTTGTTACCCCGGGGAGGTCGTTCGAGGCTTCAGTCGACCTTACGTGCGGTATTACGAGCGTCGGATTATGGAGTTTATGCGGCATTACAACGTCGGCGAGCTCGTCGGGCTGCATGCGCATCTTTATGATACGTACGTCGGGAGAGGGAATTGGCGGGAGGGGCTGCCGGAGTACCTCTCCGAGCTCGTCGAGCAGTGGGGGGAGGAGGTGCTGCCGTCGGAGCCAGTGCCTCCGCCGGATTGATTCCATAAATCCGCATGGACCGTCTCATCTCCTTCCCAGTCTTTTTTTTTCATGCGTATTTTTTTTGTATTTCTTCATAATTTTTGCCGGGTGAAGTTGCCGTCGATGGAAGGAAAGCAGAGGGGGGAGGGGAGGGGAGATAGGAGGGGGTAGGGACGTTTCCTTAACCCCCCCAAAGTCATACATGGCTCTTGCTCAACCTGCTTGAAGGGCACCCCGCAGAAGGCTGATCGGGTGTTTCAGGTTTATAGGCACCTATTATTAGGAATCGTGGTGCCGTTGTGCAGTCTAGGTTAAGTCACTTTATGCTTGCCATACCCGATATAGGATTTTCTTTTCAAATGCTCTGAACTCCTCTTGGCTCTGTGCAGTTGATCTTCAAGCACAACTTTTCCCCCTTCTTTTCTCCTCCAAAGGCGAAATCACCACATCAATCGCCGATGAAGTCAACAGGACCTGTGGCCAGGAAGCGATGGGAATGAGTGAGAACTCATAGGGCCTGCTTTATGAATGGTATCGCACTTCCCCTCATAGCTAATAAAGGCTAGAGTGAGATAGAGCATAGTGAAGCAAAACGTTTCCCCTGATGCTGTACCGTTGAATCCCCTATTATAAGCGTCTGGGGGAGGGATGCCCTGCGTTACCGGATATTAACATTTTAGAGAGGTCCGTGAAGTTCTGTTGGCAATGTAGGGAAGCTTCTTTGATGCGTTTCTTTTTAAGAGATGCAGCTTTCGGGGAAAGCTCATCGTTTGCCCTACACCCCATCAAAGAATAGAGTGGGATGGAATCGTTTATCTTATTCGTTCATATGGTGGCTCTATTGATTTTAAAGAAGTTGATATCTACGCTGAACTGTGCATTTTTTCCTTTGAGGGTTTCGCTGATGCAGAGAATTACGTGCTACGGGGTGTTGTTGATGCCTGCGGGTGATTTTTTTTGGTTTCCATTCAAAAAGTGTGCATTAAGGCAAATTGTGGCGTCCACCATAGCGATCCCGTCTTCTCTCCAAGCATCGATGTGATCGAGCGTGGAGTTGTCTGCCGGAATGTTTCTGCGTGAGCTCCTTTATAGCAGGAGATAAATGATCTGCACTCGTCTTCGTCGTAGTTTCTGAAATCTTATTAAATCACATCAATAAAACGGGGAGGGAGGGTGAGACATTGCGGAGTCTAAGGATACTTTTGAGGTACCTTGTATGATAATTTCATGACCTTGTGGTAGCAAAGGCGGAGCCCGCTAGGAGCTTATTTTTTTTTCGAGCACAGGATTCTGTGATTCGATGCAATTCAAAATATCACTACGGTGGATCACCAACATAGGCGAGCAGCACCGACGATCAACCTTCCACATACACCTTGTGTGATTTTTTGTTGCTATTACTATTACTGTAGCCATTATTTTTATTTTTTGAAATCCACGTGAGACTTTTTCACTGTAATTTCACTTGAATTTATTAATAAGGTTAGCAATGGCCATGATTTCAGGACTCGAAAAAGCTTATCGCGATATTTTTGTCCTTGTATTACTATTTTCAGGTGTCTTTTGGTTTGGTGCATCGTACCTCATCGGGTGTGCTTCGCACTTGGAAACTTAATTTTAATACCCGTTGTTTGTTTCTCTAACTGCTTATCGCCATGTACCGCATTTTTTTTGCATTAATCTCAAATAACCTATATTCCTTGTATTTTTCAATCAAAATATTTGCTTTCAAGCGTTTCACTGGTTAACTTAGATAGCATACGAGCTTTCCGGATATTTCTATGCATGTATATCACACCGGGCATATTTTTCAGTTGCTTGGATTTAACTTTTTGTTATCAACCATCTTGCCAAGACCGCACTGATTTATTGTTTTCCTTTAACATAGGTGGTGCGCATTTTTCATAGTAAAGGAATTGTCATAATATCCGGGTATCGTATATGTATAGGCATATCTATCGAACTGATAATATCTTCAAGGATTTCGAATACCCTAGAAGACCGTACCATTCGTCCAGTTTCCACTGGCGACGGCTCTTTTAGGACCTCCAATGCCGAAAAAGAGGCACATCGGAAAGCAAAGCGCGCCGACGAGCACCAGGCGCGCCGGATCGAGTTTCTCCCGCAGCATTTCACACCAACGGCCGTCGGTGAGGTGGCATTCTCAAGTGGCCACGGGCCGAAGCACCCGTGCGGATGTCTACACCCCTAGCCACCGGAGTATCCTAAAGAAAGGAAACGATCAGGAAGCCACGATAGTCGATGAGGTGTCCGCGAGTAGTCATCCACGATTTTTTTACGCAGATGAGCTCAGTTCCAACGTCTCCCGCTCCACGCCCATTTCCCCTTTCCTCCGACGTGTTTCCGAGGATGGAAACGCCATCCACAATGGGGGGCAGAGTCGTCGAGGCGACCGATCGCGTTCGATTTCAGCCCGCAAAGTTTCTCATCGCGGGGTTCAACCTCGGAGTTGTAGCCGGCGTCGTACTCCTGTCAAAAATTCCCCGACCCTTCGCCCGACAGTCCTTCAGGGAGGGTATTCCACCCCCCATCGCTCGGGAAGTTCACCAAGGCGGCGGCGACGACAGACGCCGGAGCGCCGAGGCTCCCCGAAGGATTTCACGAACCCCTCTTGGAGCCCCCAACGCGGCATTTTCCAGCGAACGGATGAGAAACCCGGCGGACGACCATGGGGCTTCACGGTGAGCCCCTCCCCCCGCCCGATGCCTTCCTCCGGAGTGGACCTACACGTCTTCCTCGAAGGCGCAAGCGGGGTGGTGGTGGAGCCTTTGAGTTCGCCTGCCCGATCGCACGCGGTGGATCTTTTCGTGGTCCTCCGGACTCGGGAATCGCGGGCGCAGACGGGGCCCGTGGCGGCCGCCGCCGCCTTCCACCTCGGCCGCGCCTTCCGCTTCCCCTCCGTCCACCCCCACCGCGAGGAGCTCCTCGTGCAGCTGATGGCCATCCCGCAC